ATCCAGAACTTTCAACTTGTGAGGATTTAGGTTTAGAAAACCAAGCATTATCTATTACATTCAATTAATGTTATTTTGAGTACTATTGGAATTTATAGTATTATTTTTACTTCTTTTGCTAATTTGTGTTTCATAAATATATAGAAGCTACAAGAAACTTATTTTTTGTTTTGTGGTATAAAGAATACATAAGTAAATAAAAATAAATAATTTAAGCAATAATTGAAAATCCACAAGAACTTTCTCAGTAAGGAGTCTCTTTTTGTTATTCTAGCTTGAGACACACCACCTAGGGAAATATCAAAACTTTCTCTGAGTGGTACAGGGCTTCTGTTAGAGGACTTTGAGAGAGGCTGCCCACAGGAATTAATTTTGTCAAGAGACACCATGGGAATGCTTCATTCACACCATGAAAGTGGCCTGTATCTTTCCTTTGCATGGCTTTAGTAATGGGGACAATTAAGAGATTTATGGGGATAGAAAGAAGCAAAAGGCCAAATCAGAAGTTGAACCCCATGAAAAACCAGTTATGATGAAATTGAAAAAGGGGGGAAGAAAAGGATCTTTGTGTTTATTCCAGTTGTCTTGTGAAATTTGGCCTGACTTCCCAAGACTCACATTTCATTTGTGTTTCATAAATATATAGAAGCTACAAGAAACTTATTTTTGTTTTGTGGTATAAATAATACATAAGTAAATAAAAATAAATAATTTAAGCAATAATTGAAAATCCACAAGAACTTTCTCGGTAAGGAGTCTCTTTGTGCTATTCTAGCTTGAGACACACCACCTGGGGAAATAGCAAAACTTGCTCTGAGTGGCTATTCCAGGCTGGGCCTCTCTGAGCTGGACTTTACTGTTGATTGTTTTTTAGGGTTCTAAATACTGTGTCCTGCAGTTCTGCCCTGATAGCCACAGTCCCCAGCCCTTGTCTGAGGCTATGCACTCTCCCGATAGAAGGAACTGTCCTTCACATCCATGTCTCCAGAGGGGCAACATGATTTCCCATGATTCCCCTAGCTGTACATGACTGCCTTTTCCAGAGAGTTAGCCACTTGGAAAGGCCTTTGAGGAGGACACACTCTCCCCACCTCACCTGATTGTAGAAGGCTATGGGGATTCCAATGGTAAACTTCATGGGGACGACAGCAAGCCCCCTCTTCTTCCAGAAGTTCTTTTTGTTAAATTCCTCTGCAGCCTGTTTCCTTGCATAGAATGATGACTTCTCCAGACATTCTTTCCAGCATCTTCGCAAGGGTTCTGGATTAAATGTCTGCTTATGAGCTGTTTTGCTAGTTCTCTTATACATGTTTATTTCTTTAACCTGAAAGGTGAGAAAATACATGCATTTTTTTTGTTATATGCCTGATACGGAGAATTTTTTTTTCTAAAAAATTTCAACTTTTCAATGGACATAAACATGCAAGTGTACATGTGTAAAAATGCCAATAATAGTAAAAACAATGGAAACTACTGTTGTATGATTCATGTGCTCCAGGTTCTAGATTAAGGATCTCGGTGAACTTTACAGTAACCCTGAGAAACACAGTGGTGGTTTCAAAGAGAATGTCTCCCATAAGCTTCAGGTAGTTGGACATTTTGTCTCCAGTTGGTGGTGCTGTTTTGCGAAGTTTGAGGAGGTGTGGCTATGTCGTTAGAAGCATGTCACTGGGGGCGGGCTTTAAGAGTTCTTTGGCCTTGCTGGATCTCTAGTTGCTGTTTCCTGTGCATGCTTGAAGATGTGAGTGCTCCCCTTTCTCCTCTGGCCACCTCCTGCCTCCATGTCTCCCCACCCTGTCTCCCTGCCATGACAGTCTCTAATCCCTCTGGAACCTCAAGCAAAATAAACTCTTCTGTCTGTAAGCTGCTTTGGTTAGTGTTTTTATCACAGCATCAGAAAAGGTAACTAATACGGAAGTTACTTAGTACAAGCAGTATCTACTATTATTGGCACTGCCACCAGTTTGTTGGTAAGACAATGATCTCCTGATCAAAATCTTAATTACTCCTAATTATTCTTGTGTTATCTCTTTAAGTCTTATACATGTGAGGCAAGTGCTGTACCATTGAACTAGCTCCAACTCTCTTCAAAGTCTTAAACTACGACAAAGTGTTTGCACAGAAGGCTGCAAGCATCTACTTTATTTCTGTTCTGATGTAGTTTCATACTGATTCTGGATTGACTTTGTGATTGCTTTGGCGAATGGGACCATACATAGTAATGTGGACAGAAACTTGAAAACTGCTTGTGGATTAGGGCATGTCATCTGCTTGCTGCTCTTCAGAACTCTGTGACCATTGCCATGAGAATGAATGTGGGCTAGTCTACTGGAGGATGAGAGACTCTGGAGCAGACTTCTCAGCTGAGGCATGGCCAGATAAACCAGTTAGACACCCACCAGACATGGCAGTGAAGCCGTCTTGGACCATAAAGCTCCAGATGAGCTGGCTCAGATCAGAAGAGCCCTACCCAATGATCCACATAATCATAAGGAATAATATTGTTGCTTGAAGTCGCTAGGTTGTGTGGTTGACTTATTACAATAGAAAAAGCTAATATAACAGACAGTGTATTTTATTTCCTTCAAACTATATATAGAGATTGACATAACACTATGTGTAGGCACTCAAGATAATTTTGAACCCATGTTGCAGTGTTTTACTAGCAGGATCTGATCACTTACCTCTTCAGGGAGTAGGTTACATTTAGCTGCCACAGCACTGATGTAAGCTTCTACTACCACCGTAGCCTGAGGGAAGCCAAATCCTCGGAAGGCCGTGTTAGATGGCAAATTTGTTTTGCAGGCCCTGCCCCGGCACCGGAAATTTGGAATATAATATGCATTTTCAGATTTCAGCACAATAAACTCCATCACCTGAGTTAAAAACAAAATGAAACTTCACATCTGTCCAGTATTTAAAGTCACTTATTTGAATTTTATTTTTAATTTAAACCCTTTACAGAATGTATCAATCTTAAAGCAAATATCCATGCAGATAAAGTATAACACACATGCTCTCTGGAGAACGTATATTTCTTATTTACCAGCTCAGACTCATCAGGAGTGCACCCTCCATTGATGTAATACTCAACGTCAGCAGCCTTGATCTCCCCGTTGTTCATGAACCCGATCTGAAAAGTAGTAACAAGCAAGATCATTTCCTTAACAGTTTTTCTTTGTGGTCAAACTGTGCTGGGCACAAACAGATCTGATCACAGTTGTCAACCCAAGCTTAGCTTATGCACATGATTGGTTATGACAGTCGCCAGAGGAACATTAGGCTGAACAGGATCCAGAAAACTCTGTCTGGTTTTAGGCAATGTTCAAATATCCCTGTTAGGGGTATGGAATTCAGAAGTGGTCTTTGCTATTGATTGGTCACTTAGGTAGTTTGCTGAACTTCTTGCTTTCACTCACTTTGTATTTTCCCAGGAGAGGGTGGCGGCCAGCAGTTATCAGCATGTCATCACCACGCTCTAGGATAAACCGGATTGGGTGGCCAGTCCTATGGGAAATGATTCTGTTAAGCTACATTCTTCATGAAGTTGTAGAAACAGAATTAGGGGAAGGGGCTTGAGGTAATCAGCTCAGTGGTTTAACTTGTAGGTAGTGACACGACTTAGACAACATTTTAGAAGAAATGGCAGCATTAAAATAAAAAAATAAATTATTCCGATTTAGTCAAGTCTGAATATTTGCATTTTATGACTGTAATGATACAATATTAAATTATTTACTTTCATTTCATTTCATTATTAGAAAAGGAGTTTCATGATCATTTTGCAATTATATGTATAAATAGGTTTTATTATTATGTCACTTTTAGACAGTAAGAGAGGCATTAAATACTGCCAAAAGGGGGTTGTTGAGGCTGAAAGGTGGAGCCCTACTGCTGAAGACCTCTCTGTCGTAAAGTGGTCATTCAGGACTCTGATTTCTAGCCCCTGAAAACCTGCTACTCTCATTCTGGGCAGGCTTTTCTATTGCTAGAGAGTCCCAATGAGCTAAGGCATTCATGGTTTTTCTTTAAAAATGTATTTATTTATTTATTTTTATTTTCTGTGTATGAGTGTTATGTCTGCATGTTTTAAGTGTACCCGTGTTGTGCAATGCCCACAGAGGACAGAAGAGCGTGTCAGATCCCCTGGAAATGGAGTTATGGACAGTTGTTAGCTGCCATGTGGGTGCTGAGATTTGAACCTAGGTCTTCTACAAGAACAACCCGTGTTCTTAACTGCGAAGCCATCTCTCCAGCCCCTATTATTGGTCTTTTTGAGACTGGGACTCCCTATAGCCACAGCTGGCCTGGATTCACTGTGGAGACAGGCTGGCCTCAAACTCACAGAGATCCATCTGCCTCTGCCTCCTGAGTGCTGGGATTAAAGGCATGTGTCACCATGCCTGGCTGGTTTATTATTGATCTTTTATGTGCATGAGTGTTTCGCCTGCATGTTGCCTGCAGTGCCCTCAGATCCCAGAAGAGGCCATCAGATCCTCTGTGACTGGTGATACAAATGGTTGTGAGCCACCATGTGGGTGCTGGGAACTGAACCCAGCTTCCTCTTGCAGGAGCAGCAAGTACTCTTAACTCCTGAGCCATCTCTCCAGTCCTATACTCTTACTTTTTAAACTTCAGTAAACTACCATTTTGTATATTAATAACCAAAAACAGTGAGCGCTAATGCTCTTCACCACTGAGCCATGGCTGCACCTGCATCTGGATTCTAACTGGAGAGGGGTGCAGGCTAAGGGAACATTGCCCATCAGTGGCCAGTAGTTTAGTTTATGACAAGCTATTGCAAGGCTGAGGTTCTGGCCAACTTTAGCTGAGTTGCAGGCTGAGATGAGAGGTGGGGTGTGGGGTTGGAAGGACTCATAGGCATCCCCACAAGTCACTTGAACCCTTACTTGTTGGCAGCCACAGCACTGACAGCTCCCAGCAGAGCGGGCTTGGTCACTTTGCCCCCAAATGCTCCTCCAGTTCTTCTCATATGACAGGCGATTCTACTCCTTGGGACCTTTAGTGCTGCAGCCACGTACTCCTGCAAGAGAAAGGCCACCCCTGAAGCCACGTAAGTACAGTCCCATAGTTTACCCTCTCAACCATGTGCTTCCCTGATGCCAGTGGAGCTCACTAGTCCAATCAATACTTCTTTTCATGGTGTTGTGTAACCATTATCATAATCTATTTTAGAATATTTTCAGCATCTCCAAAGAAACCTTGATCCGTTAAGCAATCATTCCTTAATTACTGCTAAATTCTCCACACTAGGCAGCCTATTTTCTGTCTCTACAGATTTGCCTCTTCTGGAAATTCACACAAAGAAACTATATAATATGTGGTCTTTTGCAACTGGCTTCTCCATTGTTTTTTATGGCTAACTAGAGCTTGCTTTTTTTTTAGTCGTCAGTTTATTAGACATTGGATTCTTCCCACTTTGGACTCTTTCTTGTAAGTAACACTGTTATGAACATTTGTGTATAAGACTTGTGCTGGTCAGAGTTTGTCAACTTGACATAAACTAGAGACACCTGGGAAGAGAGAACCTCAGTTGAGGAATTTCCACCATTGACTTGGCTGTGGCCATGACTGTGAGGTATTTTCTTGATTGCTAATTGGTGGAGGAGGGCCATGCGGTAGGCAGTGCCATGTCTGGGCAGGTGGGCCTGGGCTTTATCAGAAAAGTAACTGAGCAAGCCAAGGGGAACAAACTGGTAGGCAGCATTTCTTCATCATTTGTGCTTTAGTTCTTGCCTTCAGGTTTCTGCTTAAGCTCCTGCTTGACTTCTCTCAAAGATGGACTGTGCCTTAAAAGTATAAGATGAAATAAACCCTTTCTTTCCCCAAGTTCCTTTTGGTAAGTGTTTTATCACAGCAATAGAAAGCAAACTAGAACGAGACTTCACATTAAAAAAAATTTTTTTTTTTTGAGACAGGGTCTCCCTGTAGCCCCAGCTGTCTTGGAACTCACTATCTAGACCAGGCTGGCCTTGATCTCAAGAGATCCACCTGCCTCTGCTTCCTGAGTGCTGGGTTTAAAGGCACGTGCCTTTATGGTCCAGAGCTAAAGCTCTCCTGCTATAAGGGACCTCAGAAGTGACTTTATCGCCTCCTGCCATTTACAGAAAGGGATGTCGATGCCAGGCAACTTGCAAGAGCTCACATAGCACATAGCTGCTTGGGGGTAAAGCTTGTATTTCCCCACCCCTCCTCTGTCCACCTCAAAACTTGCAACACCCAAAATGGACACATCCCTGCTCAGAGTCAATGACGTCAGGCTTCCATTTTGTCTTGATTGGCAGCTGGTAGCTTCCTCCTCTCATGGGGGCACCTCTTCTGGACCTCAACACATTGGTTCATCTGTGCTCTGCTAGATAACCCTTGGCTTTCTGCCTCAGCAGTGTTCACCACCACTCTTTCCCCAGTAGAATTTGAAAGGATCCCCTTGTACCTGGCTCTATTCTAAGGTCAATGACTCCATTTTGAAAAAAAGGAAACCAGGGGCTGAGAGATGGCTCAGTGGTTAAGAACACTGGCTGCTCTTGCAGAGGACCTGGGTTCAATTCCCAGCACCCACATAGTGGCTAACAGCAGTCTGTAACTCCAGTGCTAGAGAATCCAACACCCTCTTCTGACCTCTGTGGGCATCACATTGACATTTGTTACCTGCACATGGGTTGGAAACTGTGTTCCCAGGTGTAACACCATTTCTTTGTCTTCTGCTTTGGGGATAGCCAGAATAGTTTGTGTTTCCATGTAAAAATGCTCCTGACCTTCCACATGGACCTCACCTGCAAAGCATACACACAGGTCAATGTTTGGACATAGGCCCCCTTGCTGGAGCTCTGGGGGTGTTCTGTTTGTGGAGGTGAGTTGTGTTAGCTTGTGGAGCTGGACTTCATATCATTTGTTTAAAACACAATGTATATAATGAATTTAATCTAAAATTAAACATATACATATTTCTTTTACTTTTGTTTTTATTTTTATTTTATTTTTAAAATTTTATTTATTATTTTTATTTTATGTGTTTGAGTGTATTGCTTGCATGTATATAAGTGCACCCATGTTGTGCAATATCCACAAAAGCCAGAAGATGATTCCCTCGGAACTGGAGTTACTCAATCTTATCTGAGCCCATTTGGCTGAGGGGTCCTGGGTAATCTACTCTGTCTCTCTTGGCCTCAGTTTTCTCATCTGTGTAGTGAGGTGATTAGACCTGCGATGTGCTGAACTTGAGATCATAGACTACTTTGGCTACATATCCAGGCTCAGCCATCAATATGCTTGGGGAATTTGGCCAAGTTGTTAAGCCCAGTGTTCTCAGCTGTAAAAATAGGTGAACTAATAATATATACCTGAAGTAGGTGATATTGACAATCAAGGAGACACAGAAGGGCAAAGTAACTTGTTGATGAATATAAAATTTAGAATGGCGAGATGAGGTAGTCATCTATCCTTAAAAAACCTTACTTTTTTTTTGTCTTTTTGAGACAGGGTCTCCCTGTAGCCCCAGCTGTCCTGGAACTCATTATGTAGACCAGGCTGGCCTTGAACTCACAGAAATCTGCCTGCCTCTGCCTCCCAAGTGCTGGGATTAAAGGTGTGCGCCACCACGCCCGGCCAAACCACCTTACTTTTAAGGAAATATATGAGTTTTCTGACTTTTTCAGCACATTTTTATAGTTTTTCAGACCACACTAAAAGCAGTATATGGTCTTGGTGTAAATATTAAAAAGGAGTGTTTTACTTTATGACTAACTGAAGACTCCTATGCTAAAATAAGCAAATTGCACTGACACATTCAAAAGTTTATTTAAAATTATTTCTTGGGACAATAGAACAGGAGTCCTGAAATGCTCATCTGAAGACTATAGATACAAAATATAGCATGTGCTCTCTCATATGCAGAATCCAAATTTAACAATACAGGCATACATGTATGCCTACACACACGTATGCACACATGCATACTCAAATAAACACAGAAAGCAAGCTATGTGGTGGAGGGAGGGGGCCAGCAACAGGGGAAGGAAGGATGGGGACGGTAGTGAGGGGCGAATATGCAAAGTACAATGATACATATGTCTGCAAACGTCCTTACAAAATCCATTATTTTGTAGACTAAAAATTAATTAAAAATCATTTCTTTCCTATTTAAAAAGCTCCCTCTCCCTAAAAGTTCACTTCCAGAATGTATATAATGAATTCAATCTAAAATTAAACATATACATATTTCTTTTGTTTTTATTTTTATTTTTAAAATTTTATTATTTTTATTTTATGTGTATGAGTGTATTGTTTGCATGTATATAAGTGCATCCATGTTGTACAATATCCACAGAAGCCAGAAGAGGATTCCCCCAGAACTGGAGTTATAGATGCCATGTGGGTGCTGGGAACTGAATCTGGGTCCTCTGCAAGAGCACTCAGTGCTCTTAACTGCTGAGCCATCTCTCCAGCTCATTTTTATCAGTCTTTTTTTTTTTTTTTTTTGGCCTTTTTGAGACAGGGTCTCCCTGTAGCCTCAGCTGACCTGGAGCTTGCTATGTAGACCAGACTGGCCTCGAGCTCACAGAGACCTGCCTGCCTCTGCCTCCCAAGTGCTGGGATTAAAGGCATGCACCACCACGCCCAGCATTTTTATTGTTTTTAATAAGAGTTTTATTTCTGTATACATGATGAGGGGTGGGAGTGGGGGTACTCACAGAAAAAAAAAAAAACCCTCAAGAAGTGTTCAGGCCTAAAGGTTTAGGTGCCATTTTAATAAAGGGAAGAAATTTTTTTGGAGAAGTGACAAAATAAATGGAAACTCTTCAGAGCTTCTAGATGTGGTAAAATGCAGGAGATAAACAGATGGGTGGGACCAGCAGTGAAAAAGGGTTATTTTAGTGAGGCTTGCTGTGCACACCTCCCAGTGCCAGCCCTGGGCTGCTGAGAGTCTAGAGCGCCTCTTGCTTGGCTTTTCCTGGTGTGGGGCGGGGGGAAGGAAAGCCTAGGGCAGAGGGAAATTTACAGCCTTCTTTTAGATAGAGGAAAGGCAGCTTTCCGTGGCTCTTATTACACAGCTGCCTTCATCTCAAAATAATCTTTATTCTAGAATAGCACATTTTAAGCATTTTATTTATTTTTTATTACATTTATTTGTGTGTGTGTGTGTGTGTGTGTGTGTGTGTGTTTTCTTGAAGGATTTCTGGGTGCTAGAAATATTCTATATTCTGGTGCAGTCAGTACTTTCATAGCTTTATACATATGTAAAATTCTTCAAGCTGTAAACATATTGTGCATTTAGAATTGCTATTTAACAATCACATTAGGAGAGACTTTCAGTTTTTCTCAAGTCAGATGAGCCTTCATCTTCAGAAGCTTTCTCTTTCTGGCTCAACACGGTGACACTTACCTTCAATGATTTGATCCACATTTTCAAAGGCATGCTCTACGTTTCCTTGCTCAATTTTTCTCTCATCAGAAAGAAAAGAATTGTGTGCTAGGGCTTGCTGCAGTGAGAAAACAAACAAACAAACCAAAATAATATAATTTTTTGTTGATTTTAATAAGCTATTTGTCCCCATTGGAATTCTAGGCTTCTAATCTATCAGCTCTTCATACACTATGACAACTGGGGACTATGAGGGTGAAGAGTTAGAAGAGCTCAACTCAAAGAATTGTGCTACTGGTGACTTTATCTAATGTTGTTCAAGGCTCTGGGGAGGATCTGAGGGGAATGCAAGGGAATATAAACCCAGCCTCACCTCTAGATTGCTACGTGATAACTCTGGGGCAAGATGGGCACATGATGTAGTAAAGAGATGTCAAGAAGAAAGCAGGTAGGGCCTAGGATGTTCAGATATTGCCCAGTGACTATTTGAATTGGATCCTGAATCGTTTTGTCAAAAGTGTGTCATGTAATAAGTGAGGGACCAAAGTGAGGATGAGATAAGGCTGGCTGGGGGTGGGTTTTCTATGAAGAAACAGTGGATGATGATGGTGGATAATGAATTTGGAAGGTGGACTGGGCTAGTCTATGAAAGGCCTTGATTTCATGCTAAGGAGTTTGGATCGTGCCTAAGAGAACACTGCTGAATAGAAAAGGTAACCTGATGAACTTCATGGCTTAGACAAGTTCATGTCATAGATAGATGGGTTGAAAAGGAAGAGGGGAGCCTCTGTAAGTGGTTATTCTAACAGCAAGATATCAAGGATGGGGCTGGAGAGTGGGGAAAATGAGAAGGCAAAGAAAGAGAGGAACAGGCTTAAGGGATGCTTAAAGGATAATGGCTAAAGATAAACCTGGAAACTGCTAGGAGGTACAGGAGAGAATCAGAGGATGCTCAAGGCTGCATCCTCCTTACACCTCCAACTGTCCATCTATCTTTCCATGCCTCTGTCATCTAACACACACTTATTGAGCACTCGCTATGTGATTAGCAACTTTGGTAGGCACCAGCGATATAAAGAAAATACAACATACCTTGCCCTCATTAATAACAGCAAAACCAAGACTGATCGTTAATATCCATTGACTACACTCCCTGATGCACGTGCTATTATCAACATTTTACTTGAATTCCCTTGTTTAATTTTCCCAATGACCTTTTTGTGTAGATGCTTAAAGTTTACCATTTTATACATGAAGGGATTGAGGTTTGAGAGATTTAAACAACTTGCCAAAGCCTTCATTGCTGTTCAGAGGCTGTTAAAGGCAGAGCCACATAGTGAATCCAAGTGGTCTGTTTCCAGAGCTTATGTGTAAGCATCAATTGGTCAGGGAGACAGAGGACCCACTAGTTGTAACACAGCAATGTTACATCTTCCATGAGTTGCACAGTGCTCTAAACTTTTCCACTTAATACTTGTGCATGGGAGGTCATTAGGACATTTCTCTGGTGTTGCCTTTCTTAGTTCAGGCTTTGGTCAGAGGCCACAGAAGTAGTGGGTGCAGGGTGTTTCATTTATTCTGATACTTGTCAAAGTGCTAGTGAGAAGAGGAAAGTCTCAGTGTCCTTACTTGAGGTGCAGATTGCTGGAGTCTATACTCTAAATTGATAGTAACACTGGCTAAAGTATAGATGAAGCATGAATTATTTTATTCCATGACTACTGGGTTGAATTCTGTCCAATATACACCACCCTAGTCATTTTAGAAGATGAAAAGTGTTCTACCTCTATTGTGATAATCTTTGGCTCTATGTCTTCATAAGCAATCTTCACTTGTTTGGCTGCGGCTTTTGCATGAGCATAGGTATCCGCAGCCACGGTGCAGATGATCTGACCCACGCAAATTACCTGCAGAAAAGCCATATGTTGTTAAGTAGTTAAAACATAGAATCAGGGACTGGGGATGTAGCTCAGTTGGTAGAGTGCTTGCCTAGCATACATGAAGCATCTGGGTTCAAGTCCCATTATCCCATAAACTGAGTGTGGTGGTGCACATGGCTACATGGAGAGTTCGAGGCTAGTCTGGAATATACGACACTTTGTCTCAAACGCAAAAACAAAACATAGAAAAATTCCCAAAGGAATTACTGTTCTCACATTCTTACATTACCTACTGATATTTTTGTTACTAAAAGGAAAGCCATTTTCTACCTATGGAAATATATTTAAAATAGTGGCTTGAGTGGGGCTTGGGGGTAGGGCACAAAAATTGGACACTCTGGAATTCTGTTTCCTTTCAGTGTCTTTATACTTAGTATTCTTTCTGTGACTTTCCCAACTATTTAGAAAACTTCTTTGAGAGGACTTACAACTTCTTATCAGACTCTCATGAAATTCTGTTTCCTTTCAATGTCTTTGTACTCTGTATTGTTTCTGTGACTTTCCCAACTATTTAGAAAACTTCTTTGAGAGGACTTACAACTTCTTATCAGACTCTCATGAAATTCTGTTTCCTTTCAATGTCTTTGTACTCTGTATTGTTTCTGTGACTTTCCCAACTATTTAGAAAACTTCTTTGAGAGGACTTACAACTTCTTATCAGACTCTCATGAAATTCTGTTTCCTTTCAATGTCTTTGTACTCTGTATTGTTTCTGTGACTTTCCCAACTATTTAGAAAACTTCTTTGAGAGGACTTACAACTTCTTATCAGACTCTCAAGGGGATTCAAGATTTAATAGGGAAGTGGAGAATTACTGAGGCAGAGTTATTGATTTCTAGTAAATCTTTGTGATGTGTACATGAATCTATGGAAGCTATAACCATAACCAACAATGATTTTGGCATATCTACCAGAGTATTAGAATAACAATCCATACATGTCACGAACCTCATTATGTGCATATAAAATCTCTCCACTGTGGTTATTATCTCCTGGAACATCCTCAGCTGTAATCACATCAACCACACCTGGACATGCCAGGGCTTCTGAAATATCAATTGATCTGGAAGGAAAAACATGAAGGCAGATATTAATTTGCAAGGGTAAGTGCACAGTAATGTATAAGTGACTCCTCAAATAAGGAAAAAAACTATGAGTGTCGTAACTAAATCATGAATAGTCTATTTTGAAAAATTATTAGTGTTAGCACGTATTCTAACTCTTGGTCACAGATTAATTTATAACTTAAAAAATGACTGATTCTTGGCTGGGTGTGATAGCACATACCTTTAATCTTAGCCTTTAGGAGGCAGAGGCAGAAGGATCTCTGTGAGTTTGAGGCAGCTTGGGCTATACAGTGGGTTCCAGGCCATCCAGGGCTACATGGTGATACTGACTCAAACAAACAGAGAAACAAACAAAGAAACAAAAAAAAAGACAGATTCTCATTCAGAAGAGAAGAGTATTCTAAATTGACTTAAATACATAGTAAGCTTTCAATTTGGAAATGAAATAGGAATGCATTTCAGTAACAGGTGGAATCACTGTAGATTTCCTTACAAGATCTTTGCATGAGCTCTGGTACTGGTTACTACAGCAAGGAAGAGTTCTTGGTCAATGGGAGGCATGTCATCAACAAATACAGCTTCTCCTGTGGCATGTTTAATGGCCGACTGGTGCATGACTGGGTGTCCAACTGGATCTTGTTGGGGTTGTTTGGGATCCACACACTGTTAATAAACAGGAAAGATATTTTATACCAAATCTGAAAATTGGATCTGATATCTTTGGTTCACTCACAAGTGAAAATTTAGCTCTTGACAATCGGACAACTCACCCACATCTATGAATCAAGGTTAATAAATATCCCTTGAGTACTCTGGTTGCATTATCTCTCCCTCACAAAGAAGGCATTGTGTGTGTCCTCAGAGATTCTAGTCAGAGCACACACAAACACACATTAAAATAATGTGGTCTACCTTAGACATAAAGAATAATTTATACAACTGATAAAGGGCAACAAAAATATATAATGGAAGATTCCAGGTGATTATAGCAAAGCAAGGAAGGCTTTGTGAAGGCATTTAACACCAAGTCAGACTCTAAAGGAGGTCAGACATTGGTAAAGCAGAGGAAGTTTTAGGTGACAAACCTGAAAGTAATAAAGAGAGACTCAGACTCTAATTCCTGTGTAGCCTTGAGTCAAGCAGCAGGCTGTGTATATGTGGCCATAGGTAACAGTTAGTTTTTACAGATTCTATCTTTACTCATAATAAAGTTATTGAAAAGAGAGAAGTGCATGGATGACATATATTTAAATGCACAGACAGATTAAAATATAAAAAGCCCGACCCACTAACCTGGAACATCTGAATTCCTTGGGGTGTTTGTATGGGGAAGTCATCCAGAGCACTCACGAAATTTTCTGGGATATCAGGAAACTTCTGAGGATCCTGAAAAGATTACTTTGCATTTAATTTTACAACTTACACTACTAACTTGAGAAACTAGGTGTAGAAATAGAACTAAGAATAGGGAAATGGCTAAGTCAATTATGTTGTATATATTATATATTATGTTCATATACAAAATTCAATAATTGTGAAAAACGAATTTGTAGAAGTATATTTATGGCACTGAAAAATATAGTTCATGGACTGTAAGTGAGTGAAAAAGATGCATTGCAAACATTTATGTGCAGGATGATTTCAATTTTGCAAAAAGTATAAATATAGAAATATATGAAACATGTAAAATACACTTACATAAATGTAAAAATGCATAATGTTTATATCCTAAAACGGTAATAGTGGTTATGGTAGGATTATTACAATATGGTCTATTTTTGAAATTTTGTTTTTATAGGTACAGCATATATCTGTAATGCATAAGAGAATGTAAGGGCTGGAGCTTTAACTTGATGGTAGCATGTTTGACCAGCCTGTGCAAGGTTCATTCCCCAGTATCAGCCCCCCAACACTACATAATAATACATAACACATAAAATGAAAACATGAAGTTGGTGTAGATATATCTAATTAGATATTTACATACTGAATATGTTACATAACATATAATAGAATGTAACAAAAATACCACTGATATAATGCTGATGAAAAGGACTGATTGAACCAATACAACAAAGTTCTCAGCCATAAAAGAAACACAAGGGTAGGGGCTGGAGAGATGACTCAGTGGTTAAGAGCACTGGCTGCTCTTGCAGAGGACCTGGGTTCGATTCCCAGCACCCACATGAGTCTTATAGCTGTATGTAACTTCAGTTCCAGGGAATCTGATGCTCTCTTCTGGTCTCTGTAGTATTGCACACATGGATGCACTTACATACATGCAGGCAAAACATTCATACACATAAAAATGAATAAAAATTAAAGGAAAGAAGAAAAAAGGAACAAGATGGTAGTCGTTTTCTGCTATATTTGGGTCAGCTGATGGCTTTGATAAGTTTAAATCAAAGTGGCACCTATAGGCATTGGGGTGTATTCTAGGACACACCTATGGACATAATTTCTTATTTTTGAGAATTTCATACATGTGTTGGCAGGAGATGTTCCTCATGCACAGATTCATGCTCAGGCTCTCAGCACCAGGGACCCAGAGAAGTCATTTACCATTTTGTTCAGCCCTCGCCGCACTTTGAGGTAGAATTTGAAGAGTAGGCTGATGATGAGGGTCCTCCGAAATTCCACCATGCCACCCTCAGCTGCTGGTGGAATGCGGATCTCCTCCAGAACCCATCTGCATGCCTCACTCAGCATTTGGTCATCCCACTGCCTGGCAGGAAAGAAGATGAGGTGAGCGTTTCACAGAAGAGTGGGTGCTGTAGTTTGTCCTCTCTGAAACTCATGTTGAAATTTGATTCTCTGTGCTGCAGTTAGGAGGTGGTGCCTTTAAGAGGCAATCTACGGTTTAGAGCTATAGAGGCTATAGAGCAAGGTTACCTTTTTTGTTCTCTGTCTTCTGTAAATGCCTTTCCACTTTTTACCCCGTAGCAGCAAGCAAGGCTTGCCAGAACTACACCTTGGGCTTCCAGCCTCTAGGACCATGGAGTGAAATAAAACTCTCTTTTGTAAATTTCTCAGTCTCAAGTAGTTTGTTATAGTAACAGAATGTGTGTTAGGACAGGCAGACAGACACTCCTAGGGCAAGGAAAGATGGGTGCCACTGTAGTTAGTTACCTTCGAAGTTTAAGTAAAATTTCCTCAAGATACGTCATTAGCTTTTTTTCTTTTCCCATTTGTTATTATTTTGAGATGGATTTTATGTAGTCTAGATTGGCCTCAAACTCCTGATCTTCCTTTCTGTATCTCCTGAGTGCTAGGATTGTAAGTGTGTTCCACCAGACCTAACTTTCTTAGCTTTCTTTAGCGCCTGATGTGATGGCTGCCAAGTATTTCTTACTGAGTCTTTATTGTTCTTTTAGTTTCATGAATTGAGAGTGTGGATGTACTTCAAATAGTTTAGACTGAAAAACCCAAAAGCTTACTAAATCAAAGCTTTCTGAGATCTGGGGTTTTCTGTATCCTCAATTAGACTGGAGCCTGGCACACATATCACAGTGAATAAAAATATGATAATGCCTGAAACAGCTGCAGAATACTTCACAAATGGAAATTTCTACATAATTATTTTGGAAATGTGGATTTAATTTAGTAGTTGAGAAAAACACACATTAAATTCCAGTTAATTATAATGAGAGTAATGGATAAATAAAAATTATTATAAAATCAGCAGTTGGAAGAATTTTTTAAAACTTCCAGCTGGATGTGGTGGTGCACACCTTTAATCCTAGGACTCAGGAGGCAGAGGCAGGCATATCTCTATGGGTTCAAGGCCAGCCTGGTCTATGTAGTGAGGGCTATACAGTGAGACCCTGTTTCAAAAACAGACAAGCACCACTTCCTAGATGCTAGACATTAAGAATTCCAGAAGGAAGGCTGTTTGACGTTTTTGAACATTTCATCTTCCTATGTGGCTTAAGAACTTTTCAGATTTCTTTATCTTTAGGACTCGATATCAGAGCTAATTGCTTATTTTACAAGTTAATTACTTAATATTTACTCGAATCATGTAATTTGTACGTCTTATTATATAAACTTGCAATAGAAGACTCTGTACCTTGAAGATATATATATATATATGATGTGTATCTTAGAAAATTTCCACAAGTACGATTTTATTAAAAAAATTAAAGCACAGCTGATTATGGCTGGGTGAGGAAGAGCTGATCTTCTTTAAGGAAGTGACTCTAGATAGGCTGACTAGACCCTAGTGGATGACCGTGTACTGAAGGATGTCAGGGGACACTAACTTAATTCAACAGGTCTTAACATAAGTGACAGAATGCATGAAATCCAATGGGGGCTATGGGAGAGTGCTGACAGGGAAGGGTGTATAAAGATGATTAAGATGTTGTATATGAGATACACAAAAACTCAATAAAAATAATAATGAAGAGTCGATTTCTATATTAAAAAATTAAACAAGAAAGGCCTGTGTACTATGCCTGTATGCGCCATGACCCACCTCCCGATGAGCCGCTTGCATGTTTGGCTTGCAGAGACAACAGTGGGGCCAACGTGTCCGTAGAACATTTGAAGATCTTTGATTGTGTTCGTGCCTTCTTCAAATTTCACACTCATGCCAGCATTGACAATGGCAAAGGCATTTTCCTGACGTTGTGCCATCCGAAGCCCTGACACAAAGTGCCACTAGAGATAAGAAGACATTTGGAACAGTTGGTGCATGTCACACAGCAACAACTCTGATGGTTTTGTGTGTGGTGTATGTGTCTGCAGGTGTTTGTGTGCATGCATGTGAAGGTGGAGGCCAGAGGTTGACATCGAATGTCTTCTTTGATTGTTCTTTACCTTATTTTATTTTAGACCCGGTCTCCCTTTGGACCTGGAGTTCACCAACTGGCTAGGGTGACTACCCAGTGAGCTTCAAGGATCCACCTGTCTCCCTTACCCCAACCCAGAGATGGGATTACAGACAGACCACCACACTTGACTTTTTAAAATATTTTATATATTTATTATTTTTATTTTATATGTATGCATGTATTGCCTGCATGTAGGTAAGTGCACCTGTGTCATGCAATGAATGTTTGAGGAGGACAGAAGAGGCTGTCGGGTCCCCTGGAACTGGGGTTACGGACAGTTGTTAGCTGCCATGTGGGTGCTGGGATTCAAACCTGAGTCTTCTGCAAGAAGATGCTGAGCCATCTCTCCAGCCTGACATTTTTTTCTTTTAAGTGTGTGTGCTGGAGACTGAACTCAGATCCTCATATGTGCATGGCAAGCACTTTACTCACTGATACATCTCCCCAGCCCCTCTGATCATTATTTGTAACAGAGATCCTGTGAATGGTTCATCACATAGACACTGTTGGTGATGGTAGCTTACGTCAGTATTGTTCCATATGCTTCATGTGTAGTAATGTTTAATCCTCAGCAACTCTGCACATTTCCAACTATGAGGGAACATGTTACCAACTTGTACAAGGTCACAGACAACTGGGGTTCAGAGTCTACTTAAGCTCTAGGCTCTGTCTTTTCGTTTCACTGTACTATTACCTGTGGTCATGTGGAAGTAACTGAATCTGTTTGGGTCTTAATTTACTTTAGAAAGACACTGAGTTGGACCAGATGTGTGAGGGCTGCTGAGAGGGACGAAGGGAAGATCGGGAGATGATGTGCTTCTCAGACCAATTACCACAACCACAGCTTTACTGGTATCTGTTTTGATTCTGCTTTCTGTATAAGTTTTATTTGAATGAAATCCCTTCGTTAAAGGAAAAAGCTGAATGCCACTGGAACACATGACTTTCAAAGTTCCATCTAGGTCTACACCTGCCATTCTAGGTGGACTCTCATCACTGGCTTGGGATACTAGAGTCCTAAAGTGCTGGCATCTTGGGGTAGAGGGCAGAGTCATTTGTATCACCTGAGCCCTATCCAGCATCAAGCGTGTTTGCTATGGAAGGCTCTAGTGATAAAAGCAGCTTTGGTGACACGTGGATCATCGAGCTGTGTTTTTCGGTGGGGCCCTTTCTCTCTCTCTCCATTCTTGCCACCACCACACTCACAACTGTCTCCCACCTGAATTATGGCACAGGCCACCTGAATTATGGCACAGGCCTCCTAACTGATCTTTTAATCTTGGGTCTCCTCCCAATCAATCCATCTGGCCTGTCTGCTGGATCTGCTGTTCTTTCAACACCTAAGTTTTACTGTGCTTTAAGCTTTCAAAGATGGGCATCTGCTAAATACCCCAAGTTCCCTCTGCACTTGGTGCCGCGTGTCGGGGTCCAGCCACCCTCCCAGCCTCACGTCCCCTGGTTGGTTTGGTCTGCCCTCCCATCCCTTCACAGTTCTCCTGCCTGGAATGGTGGGGCACCCCTCTCTCCACAGATCCAAAGGCTATTACAGTCTATGCTGGACCCCACTGGCTGTTGCCCTTCCTCTTCACACAGCTCTGCTACCCTGGCTCTTCCAGCTCTGAGCTCCTCCAGTTCTTTGTCCACTTATTTCCTGTCTTCACTGACTTTTGTTTCCTATTCCATGACTTTCCCACTAGACTTAGAGAGCTTGGAGAAAAGAACGCTGTTTCAACGTTCATAGTGTCCCCAGGTTTAGTACTGTGCTACTGTAGAGTGGTAGGTGCCCAGTCCATAAATGATTTCATGTAAGCTACCTACTTCATAAATACTGGTTGGTTGCTAAGTACCTTTACGATAAACTTTATAATAAAAAACTCAGGTCAGAAATTTCCTGTAGCTGATATTGATTATAAGTTTACACACTCTGGTCTAAAATGCATGTATACCCGAAACTAAATATTCCACTCACACAGAAGGTTCCCTTTTTGCAAGGCCAGTCTATCTTTAAGCAAGAGGTAGGGCCATAGTACTTTAAGGGGCCCAATGGAAATGTTTATTTTTAATTTCTTTTGAAAAATCAAAAGAAAGAAATGAATATAATAATGCAATCAGGATTACATTCATCTTTATCTGAACACATTCAGGTTAGATTTTTATTTTATCCTATTTTATTGTCATAAAGACCAAAGTGCCTAGGTTTCTCAAAAGTCATAATGTGGTGGAGTTGGAGAGATGGCTTAGTATTTAAGAGCACTGTTTGCTCTTGAAGAAGACCAGGTTTGGTTTCCAGCACCCACATGGAGGCTCACAACTGTCTGTAACTCCAGTTCCAGGGGATCCGATGCCATCTTTGGGCCCCTGTAGGCACCAGGCATACATGGATGTATTTCACATATATAAATGAAGACAAAATACTCAAACACATAAAATAAAAATAAACTAATTTTTTTAAAGTCATAATGTGGCCCTGATATAGAAGTTCATCAAATGGCTGTGTGGGAATTTTCCTCTCACCAGGAGCGGACCAAACACTCCTGTTTGCAAACTCTACTGTTTGCAGTAGGGAGGGCTGTTCTTCCTGAAAGCACAGGGCAAGCGTGGGGCTAGTGGTAGGCCAGGGAGCCTCACCTGAGTGGAATAAGGAATGGAAATGGACAGCACAACCTCTTCTGGTCTCAGGTTGGCCTCGGGGGAGCCCTCAAGGAAAGGGCCATTTAAAGGAATCTGCCGAGTTCCTTCTGTTGGAGAAAAAGATCTGGATTAGCACTCTTTGTCAAACTGGAGACTATGATGTAACAAGCACCTGTTCTGAAGTGTCTGGTGGACTGAGCTGCTGTGGGCTGAGAGCCAGAACAGAGTGAGAGTCCTAGCTCCTGACAGAGGTGGGGTGGGAGGGTGTGAGGGAGGTGGGAGGTGCCATAGGGGGTGGGGGTGGGGGTGGGGCTGCCTAAGGCAGAAATTTTGGTTCCTAGGATGGAACCAGATGAGCTGAAATGTCTTTTTGGGTTATTTTAGCCCATTAAATGCCAGTCACAAACACCAGCCTTAAAGACCTTTCTAGTTATTTGGCAGCAACATGCTACAATGCTCACATTTCACAAATGGAAAAAGAGATCCAGGGAGGTTAAATGATCTTTCCAAAGTACCATGGGTGTGTGTGTGTGTGTGTGTGTGTGTGCACGTGTATAATTTATCTTTTCTTCTTTGGATATGTATGTGTTCATGTATGTTGGTGTGCATGTACGTGCAAGTGTGCATATGTGTGTGTATATGTGTGTTTGTGTATATGTGTGTGTGTGTGTGTGTATGCATATGGAGGCCAGATGTCAATTTCAGGTGTTGTTCCTCAGGGGTTACCCACCTTGTTTTTGTGTGACAAGGCCTCTTGGCCCAGAACCCATCGATTAGGCGAGGCTGACTGGTTATTGAACTAGAGATCCACCTGTCTTCACCTCTCTAGCTCTGGGATTACAAGCATGCCATCATGGGTGCTGGGGATTGAACTTCTATGGAAATCACTTCATGGACTGTGCTACCACCCCAGCCCTATCTTCTCTTTGATTCCAATGATAAGTATATGTATTTTTTCTTAGACAGTTTACCATACTCATTTGAGTTACAGTTTTAAAAACTGTAATTTTAACCAAAGAGAATCATCAGTAGAATGGTCGTTTTTATTTTCCTAAGTTGAAATGGTTGTTCCTCCACAAAGTTCAAACTGTCTTTGATTGAGAAACGGTAAATATGCCCCACAGATTTGATTTAGTTTAAAATTAAAATTATGGTTAGGCATGGTGGTATATGTGTTTAGTCCCAACACTTGGGAGGCAGAAGCAGACAGATCTTAGTGAGATAGAGGCCAGCCTGGTCTACATATCAAGTTCCAGGCCAACTGGGACTACAGAGAGATACTGTCTCAACAAAACAGAACAAAAGAAAAAAAAAATTGCTGCAAGGAAAGTTGCTTTCTTTTTGAAACTGTGGGAAGAATGTTACCAAAATCTTTTAAAGCTACGGAGAGCACTTGTGTTAATTCTTTTCTTTTTTTGTATTTATTTACTTTGTGTTTGTGTGTGTATGTGTGAATGCCATGGCACACAAGTGGAGGTCAGAGGATAACTTGTGTGAGTCAGTTTTCTTTTTCTATGATGTGGGTCACAGGGACTGAACTCAGGTCATATCAGGCTTGACCACAGGTCACTTTACCACTGAACAATCTTGCTGGCCCTAGTTCTATTCCTGAACTTTGATATTAAATTTGGGCTGCTTATAAATGGGTCAAATATTTAAGAAAAATTGTCAGGGACAGTAAGTCTGATCTATGAGACACAGAACACCTGGAAAACAGGAGCAGTGACCACAGTGTCTTCCTAATATAAATGTAGCTCAGGAGGCTGAGTAAGGTGTTCTTGGGTCCCTAGTTCATCATTTACAGCAGGAGCCATGTGACAGCAATAGGTACTAAATAAAATGCCCAAAGCCTGGCCTCTTACCTTTAGATATCACATTGATGGTAGCGTTTCCTGCTGCTAAAATGGGATTTAGGTCAGAAAAATTAGGTTGGCTTACCACATGTCCTCCCAAAGTCTAAATAAAAAAAGATATTTAAAAAGCTTTGTTAATTGACAGATAAGGAATTATGTACACAAAGATCTTGTGTAAGTTTTTTCTTTTAACTGAATGACAAACCATTTAATAGCATAGAATGAACAGGAGACAGCCAGAAAAATCAGGGGAAAACCAGTTGACTGAACTCATTAGAATCAGCATAAGTTCTACAATCCAGCATAGACTATGAAGGGCAGGAAAATCAGCGTTTGGTTAATGGCTGATGTAGACAAAGGAAGACAGCAACAGATTTCAGTTACCATTTATAGAGCAATAGTGACAATTTAGAGCCATTCTCCAAAGATTATGTAAGGGAGTAAAGAGGATTATGATGAAATATGGTGAGCTTCAGTTTATGAAATATGAATTTTGGGCTAGAGATATGGCTCAGCAGTTAAAGAGCACTGGTTTCTCTTGCAGAAGACCTGGGTTCAAGTCCCAGCATCCACATGGCAGCTAACAACCATCCATAAACTCCAGTTCCGGGGGAGCTGATGCCCTCTTCTGACCTCCACAGGCACTGCATAACACAGGTGCCCCACCTACATGCAGGCAATATACTCATATACATAAAATAAAGATAATAAATAAATATTAAAAAAAGAAATATGAGTTTTTACTACTATGGAGAGAGTAAACCAAAATAACTCTAAAATTCCATTCTTGAAAACTATAATTCCAAGTTACCCATAATATTGAAAAATATACATAAATTAAAATGATTCTGAGTTATGGAAATCACATAAAAATAAAACTCAGGAAGAAGTTGACATGGATGACAAGAATGCAATGGCAAGATGAAAAAAAATCACCAAACAGAATCACCCACTATAGTACCACTGGTTTTGTTTTGTACTTTGGGGGGATATGTGTATGCTGGTTAGCTTTTGTCAACATGACATGAACTAGAGTCATCTGGGCAGAGGTAACCTCAAAATAAGTATTTCCCAGATCAGATTGGCCTGTGGTCAGGACTGTGAGGTCTTTTCTTAATTGCTAGTTGATACAGGAAGGCCCAGTGGATGTCATTCCTAGGCAGGTAGGCCTGAAATGTGTAAAAAGGTAGCTGTTGGGCTGGAGAGATGGCTCACTGGTTAAGAGCACTGGCTGTTCTTATAGAACACATGGGTTCAAATTCCAGCACCCACATGGTAGCTAACAACTATCCATAACTCCAGTTCTAAGGGATTCGATGCCTTTTTCTGCCCTCCATGGGCATTGCATGACATAGATGCACTTGCATGACATGGGTATACTTGTATACATGCATGCAATACATACATACACATAAAGTAAAAATAAAGCCAAAAAATTATTTTTAAAATATGTAGCTGAGCAAGCCAGGGGAAGCAAGCCAGTAAGCAGCATTCCTCCATGGTCTCCACTTCAGTTTCTGTCTCCAGGTTCCTCACTCGAGGTCCTGAACTAACTTCCCTCAGTGATGGATTGTGACCTAGGAATGTAAGGTGAAACAAACCATTTCTTCCCCTAAGTTGTTTTTGGGATGGGAATTTGGTGAGTGATGTCAGCAGGCTAGGGTATAAAAAGAGAGGGTATGGCCTAAGGGAAGAAAGGGTGTCCCACAAAACGGGGCAGGTGGAGAGCCTACAGCCTGAGAATGCACTGCAGACCCCCAGGACGTGGTGCATTTGCATTCAGCACTGCTGTGGTTTGCTGAGAAACCTAATGCTTGTCTGTGGCTTTAAGCCTCTAGTAAAGGTTGCTTAGCATAGGCTTGAACAGGGATCTTCAGGGGGCTTCTGAGGACAGGCTGACTGAGAGGAGCAAGGTCATTCAGAGAATGGACATGAAATGCAGGTGAGAACATGTGCAAGCTTTGTGGATCAAGGAGACCCCACCACATCCTGCTGACCTACCCATCATGCATGGAATGGGGGGAGTGGCTTGAGTTCATTACTATGATATCCCGAACAATAGGGAAACCCCAGTGAGATACCTGGGGAAATCCAAGGATGTATCCATGGGATACATATGTCAGAAATGGACATCAGTGCAAAGGTCTAAGACAACCAATCAGAATAGTATTTGGGAAGGTGAGATTTGTTGGCTACACCTTGGACAAGGCATGTTTCACAGATGGTTAGAGCTGGATGGGACCTCAGAGACAGTCCCATTTGGTTGGTCCTTAATTTCCAAACTTAAGCTACAGACGCTTAAAGAGTTCAAGTGACTTCTCTAGGGTCCTATCATTCACAGGTGACTGGGATAAGAATTGGGGCATCTTCTGACTCTAGGATCATTGTTCAGTTATAGTATGTCCCTCACTTTACACACACACACACACACACACACACACACACACACACACTCATGTTGTAGAGACTTGCTCAGCATTGGCTTAAGAGTCTTCTTCAGAGTATTTGTTAAGATGAACAGAACTGAAAGTCAGTTTGTAACTCTGTCTTATTTGATAGAGCAATAGGGAACATACAGCCATATTCCTAATCTGGGGTCCTGCAAGTGTCCTCAGATGCTTCAGGAGGGCATGATAGGTCTTGGTCTTCTCCTTTGGTTGATCCGAAACAATAAAATATAAGGCATCGTTCAACTGCGCCAGGCTGTATCCTGCCCCTATTGTCACCTCTGAAAATAAGAGAATACAAGTTTACAGTGAGCTTTAACATGATAAGGGTATATGGAAACAGGCTTTTAAATATATCTCCTCTTTCCCTATTTGTTAAGAATGATAGCAACCAATGATAACTAAAGACATTTCTGACAATTTGCTTTATTCTTGTGATAGTTGATACTAATGGTCAATTTGATTAGATGGAGAAGTACCTTGAAGATTAGTAAAGCACACCTCTGGGTGTCTGTGAGGGAATTTCTATGGAAGATTAAGTAATGCGAAGACCTGCCCTCAGTGTAGGTAGTACTGTCCCATAATCGGATCCAGATGGAATGAAAGGGAAAGGAGGGTGTGATGGTTGACATCAACTTGACAGGATCTGGAATTACTTAGGAGACAACCCTCTGGGCACACCTGTGGGAATTATTTATGTTAGGTTAGCCTCTGGGCATGCTTGTGATGGATTATTTAAATTGGGTTCACTGAGGTAAGAAGACCCACCCTAACTGTGGGTGGTACCATTCCCTGGGATAGGGGCTTGGATTGCCGATACTGCACAGCAGCTTTCTCTGCTCTCTGCTTCCTGACTATGGACATAATGTGGCCAGCTGCCTCAAGCTTCTGCTCTCATGACTTCCCTGCCATGATGGATTGTACCCTGAAAATGTGATCCAAAATAAACCTTCCTCCCTTAGTCTGCTCCTTGTCAGGTATTTTGTCACAGCAAGTAGCTAATAAAAAAGGAAAGTCAACTAGTGCAGGTGTTCTTTCTTTGTCTGCTCCCTGGGTGCCATCATGTGAGCTCCTCTACTTAACAGTGCTCATCCTGTCACGTTGGAATGAACTGTGAACCACTGAAATCATGAACCAAAATAAATGTTTCTTCCTGAATATTTATTCCCCTTGGAAATATTTTGTCACAGTGGTGAAAAACTGACTAACACAATTCTAAACATTAGGTACCAAATCCTTTTTCTCACTCAAAGATATGCTTGTCATAGATTTTTTAAAAATATTTTATTATTTTTATTTTATGTGTATGAGTGTATTGCCTGCATGTAGGTAAGTGCACCTGTATTGTGCAATGTCCGTGGGGGTCAGTAGAGGGCATCAGATTCCCCAGAAACTGGAATCATGGACAGTTGTTAGCCACCATGTGGCTGCAGGGAATCGAACCCAGGTCCTCTGCAAGAGCAGCCAGTGTGCTTAACCACTGAGCCAACTCTCCAGCCCCCTTGTTATAGATTTTTAACACATATCAACCACAGATCTCTGAAATCCAATACTTCATTTGCTTTCCCTGAATAAATGGATCAAATAAGGAAATTCTAACCTTTGTTTTTTTGAGACAAGTTTTTGCTACATAGCCCAGGCTGGCCTCAGACTAGTGGTCCTTCTGCTTCAGTCTCTTGGGTACTAGATTATAATGCATGCTGCATTTGGACTTATACAACTTTTGTGACCATCACTGAACTTGAGTGAGAATTGAGTTGTAAAATTTCCTTTATCCCTTTCCTCTCTTCCTCAGTCATCTCTTCCTGTTGCTCTTGTATCAAAGGAGAGCAGGAGCAGCACTTGCCTGTCCCTTGGGTCAGATTCACTTGCAGGTGTGCTAACAGGGCATGATTCTGTACTGATGTTGTCTGTCTCAGGCATTCTCAACAGGGCCAGCATTACCTGCAAGGGAGTGACTAAAAATCTCAGCATGTGTAGTGCACCAATGTACTTACTGTACATAAAAAGCTATACATTTATCCGTAGTAGTAAAATGTCATGGAGGGATGATTAAGGAAAGGGGGGTTACTGTTCCTTAGAGGGATGGCAATAAAGAAAAGTTGGAGCAGCAGATCTGGGTCTGCAGGCTCAGTCTCCCTGTGTCTACATCTCCACCTGGATAGTCTCCATTATGCTATCTCTTCCTATCCATTGGTATAGACTTTCCAATAGGTTAAAATAATGAATGGCTTAAGACTGGTAGGTTAGAGGGAACAGTAAGAAATCATCTACTTGTTTATGTTTACTGCTAGTGTTTTTAGCCATTGAAGTATAGTATTTTTAGCTCCTATAGTCTTTTATCTTTTCAAATGCTTAGTTTGAATAGCAGGTGGTGGGATGTTTCAGATAGCCATAGTTGTACATTATATGGAAAAATAAGACTGAGGATCTACTCCTGACTTGGGAAGCTGGGGAAGTTACTGGATCTTCCATAGGACAATGGAGACTCCAAGGCTGTGAGCTATGTTTCTATCCCAGGGCTGTCATGAAGATGAAAGAGGTAAGACTCATGAAATTACTCAGTAACTTGTGAAAAGAATGAAAGAAAAATATGGTAGTTGTTCATAGATGCATTTCAAATCTTGTGCCCAAGATTATGTTGTGGGGTGTGTGTGTGTGTGTGTGTGTGTGTGTGTGTGTGTGTGTATGTGTGTGTGTATGGATATAGTATGAGCCTCAAAGAAAATCTGTGAATCAGGGAGTAAGGTACAGCAAGAAATTTTCCTATTGGTTAGCGTATGTCTTCAGGTTTCATTGCTCAGTCTTTCCATACTTGACTGAACTATTTGGCATCTCACTGTTATGGCTCAAATGATAATGTACCACTAAGTAACACAGTTGAGCAAGTCAGTTTGAAGATACTGATAAAGAACACAGAGTAGGAGCCCAGTAAGTTGCTTTGAATGAATAAATCAAGTCAGATATTCTGTGAAGTGTTATTGATTACAAGTAGCTCCCCAGTCCAGTCAAGAGTTATACCTTCTTTGAAAACGAGATGCTTACCATCATTTGTGGTGTTCACAAAATATAGTTCCGGAAGTCCAAGTGGGGATATAAAAACTGGATAGAATTCATCTTTGAATTTAATATTGGGTCCTTAAGGGAAAACACACACACAAAGCAATTATGAAAATGAAAACAATGGATGCTAATAACTGTCACCAATACGGCAGAGTGAAGATTACATACAACTTATTTGCAAAACAAAAGAACAAAACATTCTAAAGGAGCCTATGCATCAGTAATAGAAATGTGTTATATGTTAAACTTCTGAAGAGTTTAAGGAAAGACATGGATGCTTACTGTGCTGGTTACTTTTAATTGTCAACGTGACATAACCTAGGATCACCTGGGAAGAGGGTTTCAATTGGAAAACGGGCATGTTTGTGGGAGAGTCTCTTGGCTGTTAACTGACCCAGCCCAGGGTGGGCAGCACCATTCCCTAGGCAGGGGTCCTGAACTGTATACTAATGAAGAATGCTGGCTGAGCATAAGTAAAGCAAGAAAGCAAGGATACATATAATCTCTCTGATTTTGATTATGGCTGTGGTGGACCAACTGTTCAAGTTCCTGCCACTGTGGCTCCCTGCTGTGATGGAAACCAGAACTGTAAGTCAAATATGCCCTTTCTTCCTCACCTTGCTTTTTGTCAGGGTATTTTATCACAGCAACAGAAGTGAAACTAGAGCACTTAGATTACCTGACTCAAACTAAATAACACGTAACAACACCTACCCACTGTGGTGTTCCCCATGACAAGTGGGGCTTTGGGGTAACTGGCTTTCAGTTCCAGAAGGTCCTTCAAGGTCGCAGGCATGATCCAGGTGGTCCTCTCCCCTTGGAATGTCAGCCTCCGCTTATTTGGGTCTTCTGCCATTCGCTGCAGAGAAGCAAAGCCAGCATGCTTTGTGGGTGTCCAAATGGTCTGCTGGTCATTTTAGTTCTCTGAGGAGATCTAACTTATAGGGATCAGGAAAGAGTGGACTACAACTGCCAGATGGATGAGAGCCCATGAGCACTGATGAATAAACATGCTAGGTGCCCTCAAGGACTGGACATAGAGGAGCCCAAATTCTCTCTATTCTTATGAAGTGAGTATATGATGAGGCACATGGGATACTGGAGTGTCTTAATCTGGACTTAGAATGTTAAGCTTCTTGTTCTAGTTCTGCCCTACCATTGTATCGGGGGTCTTAAAGAGTCAGAATTTCCACAGGAAATTCCATGCCAGGCCTGCAACTAGGCCGCAGCCTTGGATCCAGAGGAAGAACTGGGCTCCCAGGAAAAGGCACACAATTCTGATAACTTATCTCACAGCAAAATCTACATAGGCACATTTCCTGGCTTTTGGGTCATCTTTTCTACAAATTGTAACATTGCCACAAGCAATGTAAATCCCTCTTCACAGTACTGGTGAAAATTGTAGGCAAATCCATTTCCTTTGATCAACCTGTCCTGGCTTTTCTATAAAGCAGTGAGAAATAGATTGGAGATTCTGATAACACCCTGACTCAGAGCAGACTCATCTTGGAGCTTAAGACAAACACTGATTATAGGAAAATTTGTTCTTGAAAAATATCCCTTAAGTTTTTTTTTTTTTTTTTTTTTTTTTAAAAAACATTTATTTATTTGTGTATATGTGCATGTATGTGAGGGATTCAGGGATCAAATTCAGGTCAGGCTTGGTGGCAAGTGCCTTTACTTGCTGAGCCATCTTGCCAGACTGAAAAATCTCTCTTCAATTATTCAGCAGGTGTAGTATAAATAGATATTTTTTTTTACAACTGCATATGTCATGTATCTATATTTAGAGATATAATTTAAAAATACTGATTCATACCCAAGGTACTCAAGTTCTCACACACTGAGGGGTGCATGACACTGAGTCCTCTGAGAAGCCAGGGGAATTATCTCCCTCTTCCATGCTTTCTCCAGGGCACAGTCATGGAACAGGAGTGTGGGCATGCCACCTGACTTGTATTATTTCCCTTTTCTTTTTTCTCCTTCCTAAACTGAACCCGAGGTTAACTGTAAGAACAGTGCAATTTGATTGTTCTAAGTATCATTTTATTTTTACTTTACTGGTTTTGCAAACTGTCTTTAAGACAACTCACAGAGTGCTGTGTGACCTTGGGTGAGTCCTTTACATTCTGACCACAGGATCGTCACCTGAGATTCAGCCATAGTGTCTCTGAGGTCCTGGCAACATCACTCTTTCAGGATTTCGACTTTGATTGTGTATTGTGGAGCTAAACAAGTTCCTAAAAATGGGACATCGGTTCATTGGAAGTGGATGTACTTCCAACTTTTAGTATCTAGAGCTTGGTGGTCCCATAGTATATTTTCAATAAGTAAATAGCACAGTGTGTTATAAAACAACAAAAGCAAAGCAGCTTACGATCAGTTCAGGAGGAAATATAGGTTCCTGGGATGGATCGAAGGGCTGGAATTCATCTTCATTATACAGTTTGGTACACATCTTAACAAAACAAAACACAAATAGAATTTCAGAGTTACCGAGAGAGGTACAGGAATCTTCAGGCGTGAGAGTTCTGTGTCAGTGTCTTTTCCTGACACCCCTGATGCAAAATGAGGTGCCAGAGCTACAGGGAACCCTCTAATGGAATTCTCCCCCTACTCCCAGGACGTAGGATGGCAACCTTAGCACATTCATTGGGCTCTGGACTTGCTTTGGTGTCAGAAATTGAGTGTTAGACTTCTGTACTGAGTCTCCTGTATTGTTTGTGGGTATTTTTTAGTTTTTCAAAAACTTTATGTGTATGCTTTTGTCTGTGTGTGGATTTATGCATGTGAGTGCCAGTGCTCACAGAGGTCAGAGGTGTTGAATTCCTCCTGGAGCTAGAGTTGCAGGTGATTGTGAGCCACCTGCCATGGATGCTGGGAACCAAACCCAGGTCCTCTGTTAAAAGCATTGTACATGAGCCGTTTTTCCATTCCTATGAACATGAAGGTGCCTGTGGTGTCTAATCCTGAGCCTGTGAACTTGATAGGTTTGAGAATCCCCCAGGAGACAAACTCTGGGAATGTCTGTGAAGAAGCTTTTCAAGTGAGTTACTTGGGATGGGAAGACCTGCTCTGAATGCGAATGGCACCATTCCATGGGTCAGAGTTCTAGACCACACAAAAAGGAGACAATGAGCCAAACACTTGCGTTCATCTCTCTGCTTCCTGCATGCAGAGGCAATGTAATTAACTCTCTTGAGCTCCTTCTCCCATGCTTTCCCCTCCACAATGGACTGAACTATGACACAAATTCATTTATTTTGCCTTTTAATGACCAACAAGAATAGACTGAATACATTTAGATATATGTTAATGTTTTCTGAGTCAAACCTAGTTGAAGTAGAATAAACAGAAACCTACCTTTTCCTCTCTGCTCACAAAAGACCCCTCGTCTTGGTCCATGCAGCATTTTCCTGATCCTTTCATTTGGCACACAGTAGATTCCTTAGAAAGTAATGCAGTTTAAATCAACTTCATTCACTGGTTTTCAAAACATGCCACCTGGGGTCCTGAATATGTAACTTCCCAAGGGAGTGAGTGAGAAGTTGGTTTGTGGATTTTTCGCTGCTGTTCTTAGCCAAATGGAAGGAGGCTCCCCACTCCATTTGTGCTCAGTCTTGTTACTGATTCTCTAATTCCCACTTTGGGGTCAAAAGTAGGTAACAAGAGCTGGACATAGTGATGCATGCTTGTAATACCAGCACTTGAGAGGCAGAGGCAGGAAGATCAGAAATTCAAGGCCAGCCTTGAATTCATAGCAGGTATGAGGCCAGCCTGGGCTACATGAGACTCTATCTTAAAAAAATAAAAAACACACCAAATCAAAACAAACAAACAAACAAAAATGAAAAAAGAGAGGGGCCAGGGATGTAGATCTGTGGTATGGGCAAGCTGGCATTTAAAAAGTCCTGGATTAGATCCTCAGTACCATAAACAGAGGCAAACATAAGTACTATAAACAACAACAACAACAAAGGCAAACAACAGCAGCACTACTCTATCCCAAGTGCTTGAAAAGTTAGGTAACAATCTATCCCACTGAACGATTAGAGGAAAATACAGAAAGTATGTAACTATGCACACAGCAAGGACTTGCAAACTGTTACTCTCAGCTCAGGAGTTAAGAGTCTGTGGGGTCAGCCAGCTGAGGCTTCCCACTAGAAGTGAGACACATGAAGAGCAGCTATGCCATGGCCATCTGTGACAATTTGAAGCCACATTGCAGTTACGCCTTAACAAAAACCAGCCTGACTCTTAGCATCCATTTTAAGGCCAAGAATGGACCCGAACTACTGAGAACCTGTTCCTTCAGATTTCTCTTGGAACCATGCTCCAGAACAAGGCTCGTTTTTTGTTTTATTGAAAACATATCGAACATGAAGTGGGGAAGTAAAAGTTCAACCTTTATCTGAGGATTATGTCCCTTCTGATCCCTAGGCCTAGACCAATACATATACACACATATACACAGACAGACACACACACAATTGAAGTGAGATAAACACTGCTTACAGCACTTTGATACTTTGATAAATAAAACACATTCATACATTATTTCGAGTGGAGGGCAAGGAAGGTCATGCAGGACTAAGGCCATATGCTTAGGTCATAGGAGCAAAACAGGGCTCAGTGAGCTTGTCTACCTTATAAACAAGCTAAGAAGATTAAGTTTTCGGTTGTAAGATTAAGTAAAAGTCATTTATTCAGAGAATGTACATTTGTAAAAGTCATTCCTACAGTGAGCAACCCAAACAGATTGCTTTTCTTTATCATCAGAGTGACATTCCATGTATCTTTAATGATGCCTGGGAAGGTAACATGCCTTTAAATTTTTCTATATACAAATATAAATAAAGGAAAAGTGAGTTTATTTATATATTATTGAAGCCATTGTGCATTATTTGGAGGATTAAAAGCCCAAACCATTTAATCATAATTTTTAGGATATTTCATGTGGAACCAAAAGATAATGTTTTTGGCTTGAATGCATTTACTAGTTGCTGCAACCATCCTTCTTTTCCTTCCTCCTCCTCTTCTCCCCGCCCTCCTCCTCCTCCTCTTCTTCCTCCTAATTTTTCTAGTGTTTTAGTCAGACAAGGTCTCATACTGTAGCCCAGGCTGGCCTTGAGCTTGTGGCAATCCTCCTGCCTTAGCCTCCCAAGTTCTGGGATTACAAGTCCGAATCATAATGCCCAGGCTGCTTTTTTTTAAATGTGCAAACACTGCCGAAGGGCATGTGGCAATTTGGAGACACTGCTTCATATGTGAAATGAAGGAGGTCTGAGTCTAGTTCCTGGTTTAGCATGTACTGGCTCAGCTGAACTTATTTAATTGTAATAATAAAGACCATCCCAGACAGGTTGGTCACAGTTAATTATGAGACAAATTCCATACAGTGTCTGACACCCAAAACTGCTGACACAGGGGTAGTTGCCGTTTGAGCCTCTAAGGTCATTTCTACAGAGTCAATACGAGGTCTAGATATTACGCCCAGCATGACAGATGGGTAATATGAGTCTGTCTTTGTAGGTCAGAAAATGTAGAATATCGGTTGCTACTGACTCACTATAAACAATATCCTAGGAATTAAAATAAATTAGTCTGTATTTGTAAAGATTCCTGAAAACTTTCAGTAATAGCATAAAAATATGTTTCAAAGGTTTTTTTTTTTTGGTTGTTCATGTTTTTCAGGGTCTCATGTAGGCCAGGTTAGTCTGGAACTGCCTACATAGCCAAGGATGACCTTGAACTTCTGATCCTCCTCTCTCCACCTCCCAAATGCTAGGATTACAGGCATACCCCACCAGGCCTAGTTTATGTGGTGCTTGAACCCAGGACTACATGTATGCTAGGCAAGCTCTCTACCAACTGAGCTACATTCCCAGCTCATTGAAAGTTTTCTAGTACTTGGAATGAACTGGTATACTTTGAATTATTTTTGCTCAACAAGAATAATACAAAATTGATTTTTATCATGAAAAGTGGATCCTGAAAACCATATATTTGAAGACTACTTCCCCACATGCACCGAATCATTTTTTCTAACCTCTGTGGCTCCTCTGGTTCTCAGCTTTGGAAGTGACTTGGGTTCTCTGACCACTGCACTCTGTTGTCTGGTGGTTATGTCTGGCTATAACTGTGCAGTCTCTTTCTTGAAAGCTGTCCTTCTGTCCCCACTATGTCACACTGGCCATGGTCCTCATTCCCCTATGCATGGGATACTGCACTAGTGCTGCTTTCATTCCCCAGGTGCCTGCCCAGACTTATCTTTCCCACAGGCAGGTGCCAAGAATGTCTTTTAGAAATTCTGTGCTCCTTATGTTACTCCCGGCTCAGGAACAGACAACACTCATGTGCTAGTCATCATCGCATCCTGTTTTTAGTCCAAAACAGGATTCTTTCTTTCATTTTTCAAAACCCGAGTCACAACCCTCCCTCCCACCCCTGTTATCTGAGCCTCAAACATCTTTCTGTTTTTCTACTTCAGCTGGTATCATTCTTGTACTTTTCTGCAGTCCTTCCTCTGGCAATTCAGTTCCATCATTTCCTTTAGGATTTAATCATTGCTCCCTTTCTCAGTTCTGTTTTTTTTTTTTCTCTTCTTTCCCCTTAATTCTCTTCAGTCTATGTTCCTTCAAAGTTTTTGCATGTATATAGGATATATTAAGCTTTTAATTAAGCTTGTTCATGGTCTTGCTAGGTTGCCCAGGCTGCTCTTGGACTCACTCTGAAGAGCAGGCTGGCCTTGCACTTGTTATCCTTCCTCCTTAGCTTTCTGATTTGCTGGGATTGTATACCTGGGCCACAGGCTTGCTGTCTTTATTGTTTCTTCAATAGAGTTTATATTTCTTGGAGCTATAGACTAAATTCTATACTTCTTAGGAAAGGGTCCAATTTGAAGAAATAAACAAGATGCTAATGACTTCTTTGTAAAAATACAAATAGTGCTGGGTGTAGGGGCACAGGCCTTTAACCCCAGCACTCGGGAGGCAGAGGCAGGCAGATCTTTGTGAGATCAAGGCCAGCCTGGTCTACCTAGCAAGTTCCAGGAGCTCTGTGGCTACAGGGAGACCTTGTCTCAAAATGAACAACAACAACAAAAATAGTGTGCTGTTTAGAACTCATAGCGGCACAGGGCCCATCAATCTTACATCATGGATGCAGTAGAGACTCATGATACCCAGCTCCTCCCTGAGGAGCTCCAGTCAGTTAATGGTTGCTGGGAGAGGGAGTCAGAGTCCTCAGTGGTGTAGCCACTGGTGAGCTCCCCTGGCCCAAGTGAACAGCTCCACTGACTCACGTTCATGTAAGCAACCTGAATTCAATGCAGGGGAGGACTTGTTGGGAGGAAGAAGGGGTGGTTAGGCAGGAGTGAGAGAGGACAAGGGAGGTGAATTGGGGGGTATTGGCAAAGCACATTGTACACATGCATGAACCTGTGAAAGAATAAATAGTTACAAATAAAAATACAAAGAATGGGCATTTAACTACCTTCAGTGGTTAGGAAGGGCAATTAGGGTTATTTTAGAGACATTGAATAAAATAGATTATTTTACATAAAAGTTCACTACATTAAGTCAACAACAATATGTTTGTTGTTAAAACAAAAAAAAATATATTTAACTTACCCCACAGAAAGTTTTCCCACTTTCTACAATTGGTCGATATCCAGTACATCGGCACAAATTACCTGGTTAATAAGGAATGACATTTTAAAGTACAATTCAAAAATATATTGCTATCTAAATTTGAAATTTAGTAGCTAAATTTTAATTTGATCTCAAACCCAGCAAGATTCTTTGGAAAAAATGTTTTCCTTAGAGATATCCTTCAATTGGTTGGATGATTACAATTTTTCCCCTGAAATACTAGAGAAATCTTCATATTGTTTCCCCACCAACTGTTTCTGCCTTATGTCCTGCTTTTATCCTAAATGCAATTCTTGTCATCCCCATAATGACTTCATAGCCATGAGGTGAGCACTTTTTCTCTGCTAGGTGCTCCCATCATGATATGTTGCCTTACCACAGGCCCAAAGCAATAGAGCCAATAGACTGGAACCTCCAAACCTATGAGCCAAAATAAGCCTTTTCTCTTCACAAGTTAATTATCTCAGGTATTTTATCATAGTAATGGAAAGCTGACTAACACAGGGACTATTTTTCAAGGTCCCAGTCTCTGTTCTCTTGGGATATACCCCAGTCAGAGATACACCACTAATTGCCTGGGTCCTGCAACAGACCTGTTGTCAGTGTATGGGTCACTTATGGATGTACCTTAGTTCTCTTGTTGGATCATAATCTCACAAAGAAGCAAGATTGCCTCCAGAAAAGCACAGTTTGTATTTAGTAAATAGTTGGTATTGTTTTAGTCAGCCACATTTCCAAAATATGGTGGAAAGGTTGAGGGAAACCACAATCTTTAAAAAAATATGCAAATGTTGCAAACAGTATGAGTGATATTTATGAAGAGGTCTTAACATGGAGAGAAATTCTTATACTGTTAAAATCATACATAAAACATAAAATTGCACATAAGATAGTTGCAAATATTGAAACTAAACAATGCCTGTGCATTAAAGATGGAAAAATAGAAAAGTATTTGACAGTGATTGTTGGTGGGAGAATTATGTATAAGCTTTGCTTTGCCTTTGAATTTGGGGGGGCCTTCCTTCTTTTCTGTCTTACTTCTTTTTTTGAGACAGGGTGATCTCCCTGTAGCCCCACCTGACTAGAACTCACTATGTAGACTAGACTGGCCTTGATCTCACAGAGATCCACCTGTCTTTGACTCCTGAATAGTTAGAATAAAGGCAGAGGCTACCATGCCTGGTCCTTTGGGGCATTTTCTTAATAGAACGTACTATTTTTATATTAAAAAGTACATTTCAAATGATTAAGTTCCATTACAGTTTTAAAAATTCAGAAGTAATGTATATCTCTGGACTGGGCAGGTTTAAACACCTAGCAGAAAAATGTGTGGCGAGATGAAGCCAGTGAGTCATGAGGAAATGGACTATGGTTACATGCCTTCCTTTTTATTAGAACAAGGATGGCTTAGGAAGAAACCACACACACAGGAATGGCCACAGACTCCATGATATAGCCTTCTTCCTGCTAAGAGGTAAAGAAGAATCATAAGAGGCTGTGAATTTAGAATTTGTCCTTTGAGTGACAAGGAGATAAATATAGAACACAATTACAAGGCAGGATATAGAAATATTTGAGAGTCAATAAGTACTTCCTGGTACAATGAGAGATTAAGCAAACATTGATGTCTACCATGAGCCCCATTTTTTTGTTTTGTTTTGTTTCATGCCACATAATCTATCATAGGCTTACAACACTGTTAAAGAATCCCAAAGGAGGAAGTGGCTGCTGGTAGGTTGCTTATGCCCTAGTGGATGGCTCCACACCCATGTGCATGTGGATAGCACTAACTGTACTCAATGGGTTATTAATACCAGTTAAAAAAAAAAAGACATGAAGTTGGGAAGGAGAAAGGATGGGGGGTTAGAGGAAAGTAGTGGTGAAGGGATATGATTAATATATATTACATAAAGCTTTCAAAGACTAGAAATATTACTGAAAAGAAAAGAAAAAAGAAAAAGATTTGGCATATCTATGTTTTGCAATAATATACAGTCAATAAAAATTAAATATCTTTGAAGCCAGGCATAGTGGCACTCACCTATAATCCCAGAATTCTGGAGGCAGAGGCAGGAAGATCTCTGTGAGATTGAGGCCTGCCTAGTCTACATAGTGAGTTCCAGGTCAGCTGGGGCTACAGTGAGACCCTGCCTCAAAAAAAATGGACGAATATATATCTTCGAAAAAAGAGCCCCAAAGGAAAGATAATTGCACCAATTGCAGAATTTCTTCCAATTCTAAGGGAAAAAAGATGGAAATTCAAAAATTTTATTCCCTTAGTCTTGAAGGGAATAGATTAAATTAAGTGAATCTATGACTCAGGCAGTTGTTGGTTTTATGTTATGCGCCCACACTAATTATGTTATTAATAATATTTTTACTGATTCTTTAAGAACTTCATACATTGTATTTTGATCATATTCAGACCCCCCATCTTCTCACAGACCCACTCTTCCTCCCTACTTCCCAGATAATTGCATTTCCTTGAACTTTATTGTGTGTTATTGCTTTTCTTAGACTACGAATATGAATGTTGTCAGTGTGACTAACATTTGTAATTCTAGAAGAAGCACAGGTAAATGGACTGTGAACCAAAATATACTCCAGTTCTCTTCACTTAGAATAAGATGAACTATCTCATGCAATTAGAGCTCTCTTTCTCACACACACTCTCTCTTCTCAGCCCCCTCCACTGCTAAGGCTCCTACCTGGGGCCAGCACTCTGCCACTCATACCATCTTTTTCTTACTGGCTGTTACGTGAATTACAGGAATAGACTCTAGAAGGAAATGCTCCACTTCTTTAAGATTCCCTGCACAGACTTAAACAAACCAACCAAAATGGTAAATTCCAAGGCCTCTGATTTTCAAAGCTTTTGATACCTCATTAGCTGCTCATTATTTCACTGAGAAAAAGATTACTGATTGCTTAATCCATTCAGCCTTCATTAACGTTATAATTGAAACTATAGACCAAAGTAGTTAATCAGAAACTGAAATTGTTGAGGAAGAAGCTATTGAGGAATAAGAGAAAATATTAAGGAATAGTGATATGCCAATTCTAATAACATTTAAATTTAATTTTTACTTAGGCCTTTTCTGCATTTTTTCATCATAACTGAGTTTTTGTCCAGGTCTGTTCATTGAAAGAGATAGGGATCTTTCCTATAATTTCTAGGAGTTTGTATTAATAGCTCTCACTTAATAACGGGTCATCTTGAAACTAGGTAGATTTGTGCTAGAAAACTACATTTGATAACATGCCCTTTGGATATAAAATAGGATTTGTCACTTAAATTTGTAGCTATTTTTCCACAGGAGACTGAACAGCTTGCTCACTGTTTGCTTATGATAACTAATTGCTTATGAGCTTCCAGATCTCATAATGAACCAGTCGGTATACAAAGATGTATGGTACCTGAAAGTCTGTCCTTTTTGTAAGATTTACCTTAGTAAGCAGTGCTAATGAGTGATTCAGACAGATTAATTGAAAAGCAAACAATAAAATCTTGTTCTTCCAACCTCCATTTCCACAATTGGAGAAGAGTGTGTTAAGAGTCTCAGCGTCAGCCTATTTAAACACATTTTCAGAATAAACAAAGGGCTTCAGTGAAGAAAAAATTCCCGTGATAATACCAGTATTGCCCTGGCTCCCAGTTGCTACCCTAAAGAAGACACTTCCAAACGGGGGGGGGGGGGGGGGGGTCCATCTTTAGTTCCCTGAGGATTTCCTGTCCTGTGCCCTGACTTACCTCCCAGAGCTTCAGTGATCTGTTCAGGCGTCGGTTCAGGGTGGTTCCTGAGCAGTGTGTAGATGGACATCACCATCCCGGGACTGCAGAATCCACACTGTGTGCCATGACACTTGGCAAGCCGTTCCTGAGGGATACACGTACACCATCAGTACATTCTTTAGTTCCCTGAGGATTTCCTGTCCTGTGCCCTGACTTACCTCCAAGAGCTTCAGTGATCTGTTCAGGCGTCGGTTCAGGGTGGTTCCTGAGCAGTGTGTAGATGGACATCACCATCCCGGGACTGCAGAATCCACACTGTGTGCCATGACACTTGGCAAGCCGTTCCTGAGGGATACACGTACACCATCAGTACATTAGACTTCTGGCTTCCTGTCTTGCACTCCATCTAGCAGTACAGCGATCAGATTTACTTTTCTGAAAGTAACTACAATATAAAAATTGCCGGGTGTGGTGGCCCATGCCTTTAATCCCAGCGCTCGGGAGGCAGAGGCAGGGGAATCTCATTGAATTTGAGGTCAGCCTGGTCTCCATAGAGAAGGCCAGCTGTGGCTACAGGGAGACTCCGTCTTACACACACACACACACACACACACACACACAGAGGGAAAAAATCAGCGCCTAGTAGACCTACTTCCCTCCCTCCTTCCCCCCTCTCTTTCTTCCTTTCTCTTTCTTTCTTTCTTTCTTTCTTTCTTTCTTTCTTTAGTGTGTGCTGGAATGATGGTGTGCACCACTACACCTGGATTTATATTTTTAACTGATATATTTTAAAAAGTCAGTTGTACATGTTTGCAGGGTATCCCTTTCTTTCTTTCTTTCTTTCTTTCTTTCTTTCTTTCTTTCTTTCTTTCTTTCTTTCTTTATCTCTCTTTTCCTTTTTGTTTTATTGAGACAGGGTCTCTCTGTAGCCCCAGCTAGGCTGGAACTCACTATGTAGGTAGACCAGTCTGGCCTTGATCTCATAGAGATCCACCTGTATCTGCCTCCTGAATGCTGGGACTAAAGGCCTGGGCCACAAACGTGGCAGCACTTTATTTCTTGAAGTCAGATGCATGCTATTTTTCTCTCAAGAAAAGCCAAATAGCAAATATTAAGATACTTCTCATGGGGCTAAAGAGATAGTTCAGTGGTTAAGAGCACTGGCTGCTCTTGCAGAGGACCCAGGTTTGGTTCCCAGCACCCATGTGGTGGCTAACACCTTCTATAACTCCAGTTCCAGGGGATCTGATGCCCTCTTCTGATCTCCGAGGGCACTGAACAACACAGGGATATTTACATATATGCAGACAATGTCCACATACTCATAAAACAAAGTAGAATAAAATAATAAATAAAATGTTGAAAAAATAAAATATTTTTAAAAAGATACTTCTCACTAGACCTTGTTTCGTTATCTGTGAAATGGGATGTGTAATTTAGAGAAACAAATTGGCATGGAGTCATTCTCAGGTGAGACTCAGTCTTCCTGAAACTCCTTTATTTTGTCACTTTGGATGATTTATTTGACTTTTCTTCCTCTTTAGAATGAGGGTAATAATGGTGTACTTTACAGAATGGTTACGAATGAAAGAATGTGTGTGAGTCATTCAGCAGTCTTTGCAAAGGCATTTTCAGGCTCTTTCCATATATTAGAGAATTCTCCATGGATTATCTATACATTTTGAAAGTTAACTTTTATTTCATATTGCTAGGCTAGTCACATTTAATTTATGCTCTTTCTGTGTCATACAATGACAAAAACCACAACGATGAAAAGAGGGAGAAATGGCATTTTGTCTGCTCCTGTAGAAACCCTACGCCAGGAGCTGCAGATGGAAGCCGGAACTGTCAGTCCTGTGTGCCTCTCACAGGTACCACCCATCAGCTTCAGTTTCAAGTGTTTTCAAATAAACACTTTTTCAAACCACATGATTTCTAAAATGAAAGCCAAATACTTTTTCTGTGGCTTAAGTGAAAGGACAAATGTCATTCTAGTCCTAGGGGACAATAGGGCTGTTTATTGCTAGATGGCAATTACTTCTGGAAACTAGACTGGAAAAATGTGCTAGCGCATGTTTAACAACTGGCTCTCTTGAGGAGGGGAGAGCCTTGATGTGTATCTTCTTTTTCAATGTTCATTGTACAAATGCCACCAGTACCACAGCCAATATAATTTATATATCTCAAGGAATTTGAAGTGTGCATAGTTTAATTTAATAATGGTTATGTTTAAGGACTAACAAATCCATTAAATTTAGTAATGGGCTTTTACAAGCCAGGGCAAGCCTGCTCCCGGGCACTACTGAACGAATCTGTCATGTATCCTGTTAAGATTTGGGAAGAATGCATCTACCAAGCACAGCAGGAAATGCTTGCATAATTAAGTGCTGAGAGGCAAATGTGGGCTAAGATCTTCAACAGAACACAGTCATTTGACTGAAAGCAAAGTTCTATTAACAGGTAACAAGCTGTCAGCAAAAACTGTGTTCCAGCTACAGCCTTTCCAGAGGAGTCTCAAGGGAAAACTCATCTTTTTTTTCTTTTTTTTTCTATACACTGCCTTTAAAATTCATCGAGCAGAAATTCCTTCTCTGCTACACAAAAATAACATTGCCATTTTTAAAATAGTCCTTTAAACTTAGGTAGTCACCTTGTTATTTTAGCTGCGTTTTATTGTAGCAGATATTGGGATAGTATTTCTTGAGTTCTTACACATAGTTGGAATCTCTATCAGAGTTCTATAAGTTTAAGTGTGAGGAAAGAGGAAGTTTATTTTCTATAAACATCTAATTTCCTATCTCATTTCTTCTTGTGTCAGCCTGGACTTGATTTCCTTTGGTTGATGGCAAGATGGAGCTGAGAAGTTCTCTTGGGGTTAAGACGTTTTTAAAAACAATGATAACATCTTGAAGAGACCTGGGAAAAAGATCTCTAGCTATGAAGCATGGAATCTTACAAAACAAGGTTATAAAAGCATAAAGGATTTCAAGCTTGGAGACCTCATGGGGATACATCAGACTATGGGCGATGCCTGTACCAGCATCTGGCCCCCACCACATGGTGCTCTTACCTGCACAGGATGAACCCTCTTTTTGATGCTTCCCACACCTTCCACGGTGGTGATGGCTGCTCCATGCAGAGAACAGATGGGCACCAGGCATGCTGTTGCTGGGTAGTGGCTGTGATGGGACTATGTAAAGAGAACACACTGGTATCTTGGGGAGTGGGTGACAAAATTTGTGGTGTTAGTTCAGTCCAGGAGAGTGATGTGTGTATTTCCCTGAACACAGAAAATGACCTATAGACCACAGACATCTGGTCGTACCCAAGAAAGGACTTACTTCTGGCTGGTGGAGAAGGGCAGAGAAGAAGGGAAAACAAAGGAATGCTTTCATGTTGGATTTCTAAGACACCTTCACTTGTCTCATTCTCATTTTATTTTTTTCCTCTTTCTAGGTAGGTGAGGAAGTATTATGTTTGAATATGAAATGTCCCTCATAGGCTCACGCTTTGAACACTTGTTCCCCGGCTGTTGGTACTATATTATGGGGCTGTGGAGCTTTAGGTGCTGGGGCCTGGGGTATGTCTGGGGAACACGCCTTTGAAGGTGCCAGCCAGGCCTCTAGCTTCCTCTGTGGTCTCTGCTTCCTGGTTCATCATGAAGTGAACAACCTTGCCTCAAGCTCCCCTTGCCATGGGCAGAGCTGCTCATCCATGCCTTCCCTGCTCTGAAACCCCGAGCCACAATAAATTTTCTTTCCTTTAGTTGTTTCTGGCAGGCATCTTTGTTACAGTCATGGAAAAAGTAATGATTCCAGGAGGCCAGGGCATGATGGATTTGACTTATATAAGTGTGTATGTGTGATATTGTGTAGTGTATGTGTGTGCCTGTGTGGGCACACAGAGGCCGGAGGAGGGTTTTGGGAGTCCTGCACTATCATTTTTTTGCATTATTCCCTTGAGACAAGGTCTCTTACTGAACTTGGACCTAGGCTGGAGGCCATCAAGTCCCAGCAATCTCATCTCTGTCTCCCATAGCACTGGGGTTTCAGGCATACAACCACTCTTAGATTTTTACATGGGTTCTGGGGATTTGAACTCAGGTCCTCATGCTTGTGCAGCAAGCTCTCTTAACTGCTGAGCCTTCCCCAGCTTCCTTCTTCCTTCTTTTCTCTTTTTCTTTCTCTCTTCATTTCTTTTTTTCCTTTAGGAATTTCAAATAATGTATTTTGATCATATTCAACCCCTCACCCCATCTCTTCTCAGAGCCACCACATCTGCCTACCCCCTGACTTTGTGTCCTCCTTTTCAAAAAAGTCCACTGAGTCCAATCTGTCTTCCCAAAATGGTCTTGGGTGTGGGTCCATCTCCTGGAGCACGCTCAACCTACCTGGGGTCACACCTTCAAAGAAAACTGACTCTCACTCTCCCAGCAGCTATCAGTTGCTAATATCCTCTCAGCTATGGGTGGGGCTTCTTGCCCACTGCCCCTCTCCATGCTGGGATTTTGTCTGGTTTGAGCTTGTGCAGGTCTTGTACATGCTGTCACAAGCACTGTGGGTCCATATGTGCTACTGTCCTGTTGTGTCTAGAAAACAGTGTTTTGTTACAGTCATCTGTCACCCCTAGCTCTTACGTTGTTTCTACTCCCTCTTCCACAATGCACCCTAAACCTTTAGCGGAGGGATATGATATAGATGTTCCATTTAGGGCTTTTCCCTTTCCCTCCTTCTTCCCTTTCTCCTTCCCTCCCTTCTTTCTCCTTCTCTCTCTCCCCCTTCCTTCCTTCCTTCCTTCCTTCCTTCCTTCCTTCCTTCCTTCCTTCCTTCCTTGCTTGATGGGGTTTCATGTAGTCCAGACTGGTCTCAAACTCACTATGTAGCTCAAGATGGCCTTGAACTCCTGATCTTCCTGCTTCAGCCTCCCAAGTGCTGGGATTACAGGTATGTATCACCGTATCTGGCTTATGGCTAAGTTTAAAAAGCAATTTTTATGGCCTTGTCCTGACCATCTCGCCTACCCTTGTGTCTACTTTAGTGGCATGGCTGGTGTTGTTAGTGACAGAGTCTTTCTAGTTAGGAATGGTGTCTAGACATTAATAGTCAAATTTGGCTGCTTATCCCTTCTCAATCTATGTCCTATTGTCTTTTCAGTTGAGGGAGAGTGTCTCTTTCCTTGGAGATGTTTCTCCTACCCAGGCTGATTTTTCTGAAAAGAGATCAAGTGCTATTCCTGGTTCTACTGTCTCACTGAATTATCAAAGCAGTAGCCATAGAGCTGACTGGAAAGAGACCTTGGAAGAGTCCTTGTATTTGGAGCTAGGATGGACCTCAGTCCTCATCCCAGAAATAGAAGCATGAATGGCCCTTACCCCAGCCTGAGGGCATCTATACCCACATCAGTATTCCCTCCATTCAAGGCCCAGGAGATGAATAGACCTCTCTCATCCTCTGTGCTCTGGACTCTGTTTACTCAGCTGTCCACACAGACTCCCCATCACCAACTGTCTTAATTACCTCCTTTATCTTGCTTAGAAGTAAAGTCAAGTGTGAAATCCAAAACCTGTTGTTTTGAAACCAACAAAAGGCCTTGTGAGACGGCTCAGTGGGTAAAGGCATTTGCTGGCAAGCTTAATGACCTGGGTTCAATCCCTGAGACCCATATGGTGGAAAGCTTCCCCAAACTCTCTTTCTCTCTTTCCTCTCTCTCACACACACAAAATAAAGATATGAGATATAATAAAGTAGAAAAATCCTTTAAAAAACAACAAAAATCCCAGCATTGGTCTGTCCTTTTAAAAATTTTATATAATATATATTATCATACGGTAATTATATTTTCCTTTCTTGGTCAAGTTTCTTCAAAAACTGTCTAAAACTTCCTTGCCTTCCAGTGACTCTGGACCACATCCTGGTATTTCACACTAGTGAGCTACCTTCTAGAACTACTCTGGACCACATCCTGGTATTTCATACTAGTGAACTACCTTCTAGAATTTTCTCCTCTTTATATTCTTCCTTCAGCTCCGGGTAGTCCTTTTTGGTCTCTTTGGTGGGGCTTCTTCCTTGCCCATTCCTCTTCTGTTTTCTGACAGGGCCTTATGCTTCTGTGTTCTCCTACAGCTCCTGCTTCCTTACACATGGTCTGGTTGAACACCTGAATTCACCACTAAATGGCTCATGAAACCTTGAGCAAATTATTTCACTTTCTTTGCCCCTCTCTCTTTCTTCTCTTGATTTAAATATGGGCAATAGTCATGCCTTTCTTGAAGCTGTTTGGGGAACTATATATGATAATATTTGCAAGTAATTTTGAACAATGCATGGTATGTAATAAGCATTTAGTAAAAGCTAGTGATGTCTATCAGTATGCTATTATTTATGTTAACAACATCCAATAAGTTGTAGCTCCTGGTGAGAGCTCTTCTCTAAGCATCAAAACTGTGTATGTAAACACCTGTTGTACAATCCCCTGTAGGTATTTCCTAATTACCCTAAATGTCTTGTGTCCCTAGGTAACCATACCAATGCCCCCCACCCCCTTGACTTTTCCTCTTCCAAGTTCTACAGTTTGTGAGTGCCACCACCCAATCACCCAAGGCAGAACCTTGGCAATCACACCAAATAACTCCTCCTCCACCTCCACATTCAGTCAGAGGACATATTTGTATTTTCAGGTCAAAGTTATGTTCTTTTAATCATGCAGCTTGTCTTGAGGAATCACATCTTTCGGGGTAAAGACTTCTTCAGCATGTATGCCAAGACCTAAAGCTCACCAAGACTCTATAGAGCTGCTTTATATCAGCCATTCTTGCAGACACTTACTCTTGAAATCTCGTGTTCAGAAGCAAAGACTGTTTTATAGCAACAGAAAACAGAGTTCTGAGAGCTCAGCACACAGGATGAATGAGACCTGCTGGGCAGAACATCTGTAGGAAAAGATCTGGAGGCAGTGCGAGCATGTTAGACACTTGGAGACAGGAGGGAGAGGTACACAGTTACCAGGAAATTCCCTCACCCTTCCCTGATGTGCCTAGAGCATGGCCAGGCCAAGTATAAAGGATACTGGATCTTCTTGCTCTTGGGGTCGTATCTTGACACCATCACCGTACAGGCTCCGCAGCCTCCTCCTCCACAGCCATATTTAGTGCCTGTGAGGCGTACTGGAAAGAGGGGAGTCAAGGAAAAGGGAACTCAGGCGGCTTGAGTTGTCCATTTCTCTCCCTTGGACGCTGATAGTAAGCAACATGTTTTCTGGAGTCTTGTATCAAATTGGTCACAGCTGCTTGTTTAGAGAGATGGATCAATTTGTTGCTTATACATGAACTCATTGGCAAGGAGGAATCATTAGAGATCCATACATACTTCCTGAAAATGTTGGGTCCAGGGGCATTTCTAAATATAAAAATTTCTACCTCAATTAGAAAGATAATGAGGTGTTATGTTGGGGATTTAGCTCAGTGGTAGAGTGATTGTCTAGCATTCCTGAAGCCTTGGGTGTTATTCCCAGCACTGTGAAGCAAAACTAAGCAAGACTAAAGAATCAACAGGATGCTGGGTGTTGAGATTTCTACTTGTTATTATCAGAACTTAGGAGACTGTGGCTGGAGGAATCCTGGGAATTTGAGGCTGGCCTGGGTAACATAGGAAGCTCTAGGCTAGCCTGGACTACACAATGAGACCCTGCTTCTCAGGAACAAAAAACAAAAAATAAGAAAGGTGATGATATGCATTCTCAGTGGGTTGAGGGCAGTGCCTTGTGGTTAAGTGCACTGATACTTCTGCAGTGGAGCATGTGCATATTTGCTGAGAAAGATACACAAAGCTTATTCTTATGGGATTAGAAAACATTAATTTAAAGGTTGGAAATATAGCACAGCATTAGAGCATTTGCCTAGTAGGCATGCAGCCCTGGGTTCAAGCCTTAGTTCTACAAGTAACAATAGTGATATTAATCATGACTCTTGTCAGTACTTCCAACAATTGCTGTATATCTTTTCCCATGTAAGATACTGGCATATTTTCTCAAGGAGAGAACAAATAATGTATGCAAATCTCTGCTTTACATGTATCCAGGAATCTGTCAGAGTTGGCCTGGGGCCTTTCCTGAGTGAAAGGATTTCATGGGTGGACTCATAATTGGCCTGGGCAGAGGTTAAGAGTAATTTTGTTCTTTTCAATTGTTGCACTTGATAAGCTGTTGAAGATCCAGGATACTCCCAGTTTCAGGAATAACCAGCTGAGAAGTTCTTTGCTGCTGCCTTGGCACACCCCACTTTGTTCTCTAGTTGCTTGTCTGAGTCAGCTAAGGCATCTCAGGGCTTATTGCTGCTAGGGCCAGTGGAGCTTTCTACCTCAGGGCAGAGGGCTAAAAGCAGTGTGGGTCAGACTCACTTAAAGTGCTCCACTGACTAGGGCTGGAAAGGTAAAGAATCTTTCGTTCCTGCTTTTAGTGTCCTGAATTTCCAAATCAAGGTAGCCCAGTGCTACCTGGCTTAAAGATGGAGCTGAATCTTTGCTTTGTCAGAACTTAAAGCAACCCTGCACTGTGCATTTTAAAGCCGACCTGAATGAAAAGTAGAAAACTGATTCCTCTAAACTTCTGGCCCTCTGGACATCTACCAGCTGTTTCAAGACCCACCCTCTGCCCTCACTAGAGAGTCCTGACTGGTTCCTCCCAAATTCTACCAGCTCATCTTGAGGCCCATCAGTAGGCAGGATTGACAGATGTAGGACCCTCAGTTAAATCTGAATTTCAGATAAATAACTGATAATGGTTTGGGATATGCATGTTTTATGCAATCTCAAATCTAACTAGGTATGCTTTATTTTTATAAATCCTAAATAAATACAGAAATGTTACCTGGGATGAGTATAAACAATACATCTAAGTTTGGTTTTTGGTCCTTTACATCAAAGATCTTCCTCACTGGCCCCAAGATACATATCCCACTGTGTACCTAGAAGATGAGCAGCCAATAGGTAAAGGAAATGTGCTCACAGAGCCAGACCTGGTCCTTTGCTTTAAGGGTCTCATTGCTTATCTCCTTTATTTCCTGTCACATCTTTCCATCCTTGCCTTCAGGTCTTACATCTGCCGGTATAAACCCATTTCAGGTTCTTAAGAGCACTATATTCATTTTCCTTTGGCTCCTGTGCTGTTGACTGGAACATCTTTGATCCCAAAATTTCAGTTTCCCCTGAAAAATCTTACTCAGCCCCCATCTATCCCCCTTTCTCTCTCCATGCCTGGCAGTGCACTCTTCCCTGTGCTCCACAGCACGGCTTCCATTAGACCTCCTCTGTGTGCCTTTTTAAGGCTATCTCCACGGTTACTTGGGAATCTGCACTTCAGGTTGTTCCTAGTGTAGACACATGCCTTCATTTTAGGAGTTTAGAGAATGTATGGAGAAATGTGTGTGAAGTTTAGACATGATTTTAGAGGAAAGGGAGTGGTAGGGTTTGTTGAACAATGGTAAGATTTTTGAAGTGGGGCATTTGGAGATGGTGGGACTGGGAGGAGGATTTGGGCTATCTGGATTGTGAGAGGAATAGGGACATTAGGAGATAGTACTCATCAGAGGGGTCAAATGATGGTGTAGGAAACCAGGGTCTAAGGGTTAAGTAGAGCTATATTATGGATAGAAAAATCAGGCATCAGGTACAGAATATTTTTCAGATAATTTTGTCAAGATAAGAACCAGGATGCAATGAAGCGGTGTTTTTACAAGTGCTTATTGTGAGGCAGAGAGACAGGAGACAGGATAGCATTGTTTTGACATCACTGGATCCCTACAGTCTGATAATAATGCTGTGTGTGTGTATGTGTGTATGTGTGTGTGTGTGTGTGTGTGTGCACGCATATGGGGGCCAGAGGACAACTTTGGGTGTTGGTACCATCCACCATTTTTTTTTTTTTTTTTGAGGCAGGTCTCTCATTGGTCTGGAAATGGTCAAGCAGGCTAGGCAGGCTGGCCAGTGAGCACTAGGAATCTGCTTGTTTCTGCCTCCTCAGTTCTTGGATTTTAAGTGTGCACCACCATTCCTGGCTTTTTTTATGTGGATCTTGGGGGACTGATTCATGTCCTTGTACTTACAAGATAAGCACATTACTAACTGAGCTATTTCCTCAGCCCCAGTGAGTACACATTTTAAAGTTCTTATTTTAAAGTCTCCCAGAAAGTTGCAAAATAAGATAGACAGTTTTGTATTTTCATTACCCAGCATTTCCCAACTGATGACATCCACATATATATGACATTAAAATGAAGAACTTGGGCCAGCAAGATGGCTCAGTGGGTAAAAGTGCCTGCTGTTAAGCCTAATGACCTGAATTTGATCCCTGGGACTCACTCACATGGTGGCAGGAAAGAACCAACTCCCACAAGTTGTCCTCTGACTTCTACACTTGTGCCTTGATGCATCCCTCCCCCCACATAAATAAATGCAAAACCATTTTTTTAAACCCAGGAACTTGGCATTGATACTATATTGATAACTGAAGTATTGAACTTATACAGATTTGACCTGTGACATACGTATTTATATACATATGTGTATACTTCTATACAATCTTATATAAAGATTTGCATAACCACAGCCACAATCACTACTTATTGGTAGTCCTTTATAGCTGCTCTCAAACATAAGAAATTCTTCATGAAAAACTATTTACTGAAGTCTAATGAGAGTTTTGGAGGAGTAGGAAGTCAAGCTGAGAGATAGAGAAAATAATAAAAAGTCAGAGGTGGGGCCGGTGTGGTGGTGCACACCTTTAATCCCAGCACTCAGGAAGCAGAGGTAGGCAGATCTCTGTGAGTTCGAGGCCAGCCTGGTCTCCATAGCAAATCCAGGCCAGCTGTGGCTACAGGGAGGCCCTGTCTCAAAAAGACCAAAAAAAAATTGTGAGATGGCTCAGCGGTTAAGAACACTGGTTGTTCTTGCAGAAGACCTGGGTTTGAATCTCAGCACCCAGCACCCACCTAACAACTGTCAGTAACTCCAGTCCCAGAGGATCCAACAGCCTCTTCTGTCCTCCATGGGCATTGCACGACACGGGTGCACTTACCTACATGCAGGCAATACATGCATACATACACATAAAATAAAAATAATAAATAAAATTAAAAAAGAAGTTTTTAAAAAAAGACCAAAAAAAAAAAAAGTCAGAGGAGGAAATCTAAGTATATTAGTTATACTTCAGAATTTTGAAATACGTTTATAAAACTTTGTTTGCTCTGAAAAGGATTGTGCAAGGGTGTAGGACAAGTCATCAGACAGTCTTGAGGCACCATTATCAGTGGCACATACCCTGAACACTTGGCTGGACACAAGTTTGACTGTATCTGACAATATCAATACTTCTCAGTAGAGGTCATCATTGAGAACACAGGGCTCAGTTCATGCAGTTATTTCCACAGTGAGCAATCTTTTGGTTCTCTGGAGGGTTTTCTCTTTTGATTTTACTCAGGCAAAACAACAACAACAACAAAAAAAACAATAAATAAAGCATGGATCCACACGAGAACCCTCTGACTCCAATTACACTCTACAGATGAACACAAAGCCATTTATCTAGGACAAATGCAGGTGGCTTTTCTGATAATTCTTAACATGCTGACATTTTACTACCCAATTCAGACCAATGGCAGCCAAAGGATACGAACTTTCCTCACGAAGGACAGTAGAGACGTTTCAGGGTCAGCACTCTTCTCTATGACCTACATTGTGAAATGAGGGCAACGGTTGGAGGAAGATGCTATCAGAAGTTACAGTAATGCTATCAGAAGTTACCTGTTGTTTGGAGGGCGTGTTTTTGATGGGGGTGCTTTACAAAAATCCCTTAGTGACACTTGGAGCCAAAAGTTTGAAGAAATAGTGAAGCTTTATTTCAATGTTTGAGCTTTCTAACCTCTATGACAAGCATTTATTGCTGACTTACCTGGAAAGGACAGGATGAGAAACGACATGTGGACACCGAATTGACCTCAGATAACTCATAGCCTTAGAAAGTTGTAGAAAAAGTTAGCCAGAGAAGATTTTCCTAAAACCTGAGGTTTTGCCTCCCAACTTCATGTCGGAAAGCAGAGGGGCATTAGCCATGACTCTGCTGTCATCTGAGCTGAGCTGTTACTGGAGTTAACACAGGAGATGAAGCTATTTGTCCCCAGGTCCTAGAGGAACCTAGTCAGACCCTCTGCTAGGACAGTCAGGCAAGATGAGAGAAAGGAATCAGAAAGCAGCTGACTTGGGAGGGGAGTGGCCAAACGCAGGCACAGAGGATGTCATTCCACCAGAGTGGTTTGATTCTTATGAACTCTGAGCAATGCAACGAGCTACCTTTATGTCTTCATCTGATGCTTCCTGTTTCCAAGCCTCCTTCCAAAGTCTTCAGATTTAGCAATGCAGAGATCAGATCTGCCCCCACACTCTGGAACTTGGGTGTGTAGGGGACAGAGTAGAGGTACTGTAGAGGTAGAGCATCAGAGTCACATGATCTTTAACATCCTAACTCTGGGAATGTGGAGATGATTTCCAAGCCAGGGACAAGATGCAGGTAGCAAATGAGGATGGGTACAGACTATGCCTTTAATCTGTCTCCCATGCACTCAGGATCAAGGCCTGATGACACTCAAGAATTGGATTTTCTGATCCAACATTCCAGGTAAATATTGTGCTTTCCCAACTCCTGTCAGTAGCCCAGTGAGTGCCACTGAACTGGTTTAAAGCTGTCCCCTTCCATAATGACTGTCTTAGGTCCAAAGAGTAGACTATGACATGGTTCCTAAAGAACAAGGGCAAGATTAAACTTTGAGAAATTAAAGACCACTAGCTGCAGTTCTGACAGTGAGTAGCCAATATGCCCTGTCACTTAAAGATTCCAGGAACCATGTAAGGAAATAAATCTATTCTTATTCAGCATTTGAAAAGAGGAACAAAGCCACTAATCATTACTGACATACAAATGAAACCAGCACAATAACATTTTGTGCCGCAAGATTAGCAAAATGTGCAAAGTCTGACTAGAAGCACCTGCACGTTGTATACTGGAAAATCAGATATTTCTAGGAGATGGTACTCATTACTCCACGAACTGTGGGAAATGCAACCTGTACTGTGTTCTGGAAAACCATCTGGCAGAACCTACAGAATCACCTTGCTGTAATTTCACACTGTTATACATCGGTGCTGGTGAGGAGGAAGGATGCTCAGGGAGTCTTTCTGGGGCAGGGGGCTTGGTAAATTAAAAGCATCCTATATCCCCATCACTATAGAAAAAAAGAAAAAGAAAGAAAGATAAGCACACTTGTGAGAGCCAAAAGGAGGTTTCTTCTTAAACCACCCTTTGTATACTTTCAGAATGCAGACATTCAGGCACGCACAAGTAATGCATCTGTCTCAAGGACATAGCTGTAGTTTTAAGTGCGCACATGGAAAGCGGTCAGGAAAGATACAGATTTGAAAAGGACAAGAGTGGATGCATACGGGATAGACACATAAAGAAGAAAAACCCTAATAGTATGAAACAAGAGGAGCCTCGGAGAGGGTTGGGCGGTGATGGGTATGGAGCAGAGGGAAGGTGTGCCTCTGTGAACCTGTGCTCCACGTCTGGAGGAAAGAATCCTAACCACGACACCATCTTCAGAGTTGCATAGACCTCCCCCTCTTGTCCTAGAAATTTGTAAGATAGAAAGGGCTAAAAGCACCTAAATATCAGCTATGAATTCAAAAGACTAGAGAATGGGGGTTGGGGAACAGAGGTGTGTCTGAACATGTTAACACATCATTAAATCGGATTAAAGGACAAACCCACAAACACAAGGAGCAAAGGCCATTTCCTGACACTCAGAATAGTCCTTAGCTTTGAAATTGTCACAAATTGTCACTTAAAAATCACTTTCCTGATATGCTAGGTACTTTTAGGTCACTCCAGATTGCAAAACCAGGTTTTTCTATTGTTCTTTTCTTTCTTTACTTTTTCCTTCCTTCCCTTCTTCCCTCCCTTCCTCCCTCCTTCTCTCCCTCCTTCCTTCCCTCTTTCTTTCTTTCTCTCTCTCTTTCTTTCTCACTCATTTTGTGTTTGCAAGTTCACAATTTTCCCAGAAATGATGTTTTCTTGACTATTTGACAGGAACATTTTTGCCTTTATTCAAGTTTTGTTTCTTCCATAAAAAATCAGCAATACAGCATAACCAAGGTATGAGAAAGAAAATATCTATGACAAATTACTAAAACAATATTTTACTTGTTTTTTTCTTGCTAATTGCCCAACCAAGTGAATATCTATTCTGACTGCAAAGCAGCCCCAACTTCCCCTGCACTTGTTTCTCTTCTGAAACTCAAGCTTGAGAACATCTGCTCTGCAAAGGAGAGTCACCTGCCCACTGCACTGCCTATTGGGTGTTTCTGCCTTCAGGGTGATGGTTTAGGTCCAGGGAATTCATGTAAAAAAAAAACAAAACAACATTTTTTGAGAGTTATTTGCTATCCTCTTAATACCCCACCTATTTCCTATTAAAATGACATTAGTGAACTTGGTATGGGGGAACTCCAAATATGGGGGACGTCAGCTTTTCACCCCTGTATCCTGAAGCAAAGCTGCCAGAATTCACTCTCTTTGCAATGTAACAAATGAAACAGTTGGTTTTTAAAAACTGATTCCATGGGGCTGGAGAAATGGCTCAGCAGTTAAGAACACTGGTTGTTCTTGCAGAAGACTCAGGTTTGAATCCCAGCACCCACATAGCAGCTAACAACTGTCCATAACTCCAGTCCCAGGGGATCCAACGGCCTCTTCTGTCCTCTGTGGGCATTGCACGACATAGATGCACTTACCTACATGCAGACAATATATTCATACACATAAAATAAAAATAATAAATTCATTAAAAAACTGATTCCAAATGAAATTCATACCACTATTAAATAACTAATAAAAGGTATCATAAGGAAGGAAAAAAAGTCTGAATTTTATCTCTGGTAAATGAAAATCTGTGTTAGTCAGGGTATGAACTTACCTTTTTTCCATTCACAAAAAATATCAGCTCGTCAGAATTGGAAGGCGAAGGCATTGTGTCAAGGTAAACCAAAAACACAGCAAAGGAAACAAACTGACAGATATAGGCAAATAAGACAGATGTTAGAGTATAGCTTGGGTGCCTGGAGGTTCTGAGGAAACCAAATCTGACTGCACAACCTGCCATGGAGATTTATAGTCACACCACCAGCCCCGCCTGCCTGGCCCACAGACATGCCTGGCCACGGAGTCTTGGCATCTCTTGGCAGCATTAGGTTCTCTTTGGCACCAGTGAGTCAAGCCTTCATGTGTCTCCTATAAGTCTAAGGACTTACTGGCTCCCTGAGAAATGGGTTTAGACTCAGGAGCCAATATACCAAAAATGAGTTTTAAATGGGCTCTTATGCTTTAAAAATTAACCAGGCTGTAAATTAATGCCATGCTGTCTATACTAAGGAGACTGATCTCTTCTCCAGTGTGTCCTGTGTTTAGATGCAAAGGGAGATTCCTTCATAGATGTGACAAAAAACCTCGAATGTGTCTTTAAAGCTTGATAGCAACCTGTAAGTACATTCTCTTTTCTTTGTCTTTTTTTTTTTTTGAGACAGGGTCCCCCTGTAGCCCTAGCTGGCCTGGAACTCACTATGTAGACAAGGCTGGACTTGAATTCACAGAGATTCGCCTGCCTCTGCCCCCAGAGTGCTGGGATTAAAGGCGTGTGCCACCATATCCAGTATATTCTCTTTTCTTTTCCTTTTTTTTCTGTACACTTGTCCTCACTTTCTCATATTTAAAGGTTTAAGAAATTGAATCCCATGCAACACTCTAGACACCGAGTTATTTGCCATCCCTAATATGCATACAGGCTTGCTGGGAGCTGAGCTGGAGGCGGTTCTGATGGGCTGGGAATTCTTTCATCCTGCATCATCTCAGGAAAGCATCCCCCCTCCTCCTTATAATCACTGGTCTCATCCTCATCTCACATCACAAATGAGGAAACTGCAGCACTGAGATTTTAAGTGATTTTCTCAAAGAGCAGCAGTATCATCCTGGGGTCTGCTGCAGCTTTAGCCTTTCTGGGATGAAGTGGAAGCCTGACCAGGAACAAGGCTCAGGAGCAGTTGTGCCAGGCTCTGTAGGGCACTGGAGTCACCTGGAGGGGCCCCCTGAGACTCCTAGTAGGCTGAGAGATCACTATGGGTTTGAGCAGGGGGTGATAGATTATATTTCAGAGTTTACAAGATTGCTATGGAGAGTGAAACGCTTGGGCCAAGGGTGAGCCAGAGTTATAAGTTATGACAGTGGTGCAGTCAAGAGAGTCATATGTGCGGACTGGGTGAAAGTGGTGGGGAGCAGATGTCCCACAGGTTGGAAGTGGTATATGTGTGTGAGAGAAGGGAGCCAGCTGTAGAGGCCAGAGACTGGGTAAATGAGACTTTCAAGTCCTATGTGCAAAGACTAAGTTGGAGATGCTTTAAAAAATATACAAATAGGGTTGTCAAGTGGCTGTTGGGTATTCAAAGCTGCCTTGTTTGCTTTCTGTTTTAAGTAGAGCAAGAGCTCCAGGTCTGGGGTGGGATTCCATTCCAGTCTTCCTTCAGGTCCACAGTTCTGACCTCACTGCCTGTCTGTACTCTCTTCTACCTGTCACCTCAGCTGTTTCCAGCTTCATCTCCACAATGCCCCTTGCCTGTCTGTACAGGGTTTTGAAGCTTGAGAAAGGGTAACTTCGGGAAATGGAAAGTAATGTGACAAACAGGTAAGGTGGCACGGTGAAGAGACTGGGTGAGTTTCCTTAGTTTCAGGTGGCAGGTGCTAGAGTGTGTCTGAGCAGCCTTAAAGTGAAGCTCGCCAAGAGAAGGCATGGGAGAAGAGCACGTACAGGGGCCTCCAAGGAAGATGTGAAATGACGTCTTAAAGGAGCAGAAAGAAGGGCAGCATGGGCAAGTGTAGGGAGCAGGGTGAGGCAAAGGGCTTGGGACTAGGTGGGAAGGAAAAGCCCCAGAAAGTTTTGATGTCGGATACAATGTAGTGTGACGTGAATTTGACCATTCTGTGGCCGTGGCTCAGTTGGTAGAGTGCTTGCCTAACATGTATGAAGCCCTGGGTTCGCTCCCTAGCACTGCATAAACCAGGTGTGGTGACACAGGCCTGTAATTCTAGCACTTAGGAGGTGATGACAGGAAGACCAGAAGTTCAAGGTCATCCTCTGCTACATAGTGAGTTCCAGGTTAGCCTAGGATACACGAGACCCTCCAAAGAAAATTTGGAGCTGGAGAGTTGGCTCAGCAGTTAAAAAGGGCTTGCTGTTCTTCCAGAGGACCTGAGTTTGAATTCTAGTGCCCACATCCTGTGGTTCACAATCATCTATAACTACCTTCAGCTCCAGGGGATCTGATGCTCTCTTCTGGCTTCCACGAGCACTGGTACACAGACAGCATATACATAGACATACATACGCAGAAATAAAAATTGAAAAAAACTTTAAAAGGAAAATTCTATAATTCTATTGTATAAAGAAAGAATTATTGCTAGTGTTACGGAGACAGATCTGAAGTCATTTCTGTGTATCCCAGTCTAGCGTGGACACGGTTTAGACTAGTGTGTGAGAGGGTGCCATCAGGACAGAGAGAAAAGAATATCTTTGGTATGAAATTTGGAGGCACATCCAATTAGACCAGTTGACAGAGTTGAGAATGGGGTGAAAGGAAGAGAGGACTCGATGAGTCCTAGGCTGCTGGAATGGGCAGCTGGGTGAAGTATAGTGCCTATTATTGAAATGGGAAGATGGGGGACAGAGCACTGGGATTCAGAGGTGGGAATCATAAATCCTCTCTTGGATCCATACAGTTTAAGTTGTCTTCCTGAGTTCCAAGTGCACCTGTTGTTGAATACAGGAATCTAGAGGTCAGTTGAGGACTCTAGATGGAAGATGTCAATTTAATAATCATTAATTTATCAGTGGTATAAGGATAAACTTCATGAGAATTTTGGCATAGTAAGGAAAAAGCTCTATTTTGGTCATGGCAGGAGAACATTGTGAATTGCTAGGTAACATACTTCCCTTGCAACTGCCTTGCTCACCCTGTGAGTGCCAGGAGGGTGGTCCACACCTTCTGCCTTTAGAGGAAGGCCTCGGGAGAGAAAGCTCAGGCTGTATTTCCAAACAGGCCTTTGACACCCTTGGCAGTAACACCAGGAATGAAGTGGGAACACTGCTGGGCAGGGGCCTCAGGCGGATGTCCTCTCCCCCTGGCATGGTCCTGTGGCAGACTCGGGATCTTTATTTTGCTTCCAGTTGAGTAGAACTGAGTTTCTGCCGCCTGGCAGAATGGGGTTTGAGGTGGAATTTAAATGCATGTGTGTTTGCACTTAAATCTGTATAGTAACTAACCTTTATTTAGCATTCATGTATATGCTAAGACAAATGTCTTCTTATGTTGCTTCATTTAATTTTTATGGTAACCTTTGAAATGGAACAGAATCCAGATTTTATAAAGGAAAAGTCAGAGGTGCTCTGAGAAAGATAGTTACATGTGGGTTGCATGCCCGTGCCTGTGTGCGCTGAAATTCCTGCTTATAATTTCACATGATGTGTTTCCTTAACCACTTGGTGAGACAGAGAGTGATTCTCAGTTTCCCTGGGGTTCTAGAACCATTTACTATAACAGAGTAATAAGGTTTCTGTGGCACATGAAAAAGAAACTATTGCAGCTTTTTAAACATCAGGGCAATCTATCCCTCAGTTCTTACCCATCAAGTTTTCTAAAATCAGAAGGTCTGACCCTGGATGTGCCCAGTCACTGGCTGGGTTAGCTCAGATTTGCCAATGATGAAGCACAGTTTCTGGAAGGACATGACATGACCCTGCTGAAATGCACTGAAAGTTTTGAGGCCAGGTAGTTTCCATGATGCTTTCAAACAGATGGAGTATTGATGCCTCCCTGGTGAACAGAAACACATATCTATAGAACACCAGCTGTGCTGGGAGATGGAATGGTACAGTGCCCGGCCTGAACCCTAGGGCTCTTTGTTCAAGCTTGTAATAACAATAATGCCCTGGTTACTCCTAGCATTCGAAATCTGCAATTATCCCTTGAACTTAGAGAATTTCCTGAGCTCCTGCATTACCAGTGGGCTTGAATCTTGTTGCCCTGTCCAGGTGGGGGAGCTATCCTCTCCATGCTGGGAACTTGGCAGTCTTGGAACCTGGAGACCTCAGTATAGGTCTACCCTCTGAGTCTGAAATCAGTAGACAAAGGTCACACGGGTAGAAACAAAATTTCTGGAGACAGAATTATCTGAGGGGTATTGCTTTCCTTAACTAATACTTTTTCATAGCTTTTGTATATACCTTACAATACGTACTTGATTTTTGTGCTTCTTGATTCCACTTTATCTATAAGAATGGAACCTCCAGTTCTGCTGTCAACTGCGTAGAGAGTTCTCTTGCATTCTCCTCCAGGCAGTTGCCTAGCCTGGGAAAAGAATGATTCTCCACATGGAGGGCTGAAGAGCTGGGTAGAATGGCCCTGCTCTTCTCTACTCTACTGTGGGATCCTCTCCCAGCTCTCCTGGGTATGTGGGGCCCAAGCAGCAATGTGGATGCTCCTAGAACTTTGCCTGCTCCTCTATGGTCCTACCTCTCTGACAGCTCCTCAAACTGCCTGATTCAACAAAGGGTGTTTCTTACAGTGTCTGTAACAGAATAATTTCTCCTCTCTCTCCCCCCCCCCAGTTCAATTAGAGTTATAGTTATTTACAGAAGCATAGGCAAATTAGCAGTGGATACACTAATGAAGAAAATTTCTCTATCTCCCCTAGAAACCTTTAACTGTCTATAAAACCTCAAGGAAAAGCCAAAGCCTTGGGAGTCCCTCCTCCCTCCATGGTAGAATGTTGACAGGCCTAATTTTGTGCCGGTTTTATGCTGTTACCACAGTTACTGTGAGGGCTTAAGAGTGAAACAGCGGTGTCAGTGTTCTACACACTTCACATCCTGCTCCAGCTCTTACTTTCTTTTTGTTCCCTCTTTAGTGGTGTTCTAAGCCTTGG